AATAAAACATAAGAACTTTATTGAGAAGACAGCAAGTAACATTTTGAATGAATGTATTTACATAACAATTAAGGAAATATACAGGCGAATTCCACATTTATACAAACAGATATGGCTTCACATATAAGAACTGTTGTCTTTTTGGCAGTCTGATGTTGGTTTTATGTAGTTTCACATTCTTTACAAAGATAATGTGGTGTTTTGTTAGCAAATTACAGTTATAAAGAAAACATTTAGGTGGGAACAAACAAGAATTTATTAACAAAACTGCTGATGTCGTTCCAAAACGTATGTGTGAAAGTTGAGTGGATTTGCCATAATGTGATGTCATCAGCAGGAGCGGGACCCCAAGCAGATCTGGCACCGACACCATCTCTGATTTAGCGATACTACGATACCATTGCTGTCATTTCTTTCTGTCGTGATCTCAGAATTACCCAGCTGCTGGTATTCTGTTTTGTCGCCATGTTTTGTTTGCATCTCACAAACCCAGCTCTCTATCTGGTCTGAGTTCTGTACTGTGCCCCCTAGTGAAATCCTCCAGTAATACATTGCAGTATGTACGTGAACAAGGCACAGCCTGCTGTCTGCTGCCGAGGTTAAAAGCAAGTATGTTCCCAGCGTTACACGATGAAAAGGAAGCATGCACGTGACTGGTTAACCCCTCGAGCCATATTGGCAGGTGGCATGTCATGTGCTTTGAATTTCACACATATATTAAGCTAGTGACCTGATTCACAGCTAGAAAAATCTATGAGCAGACTGATGCCAGTTGGCATGTTAACCTCATGCGTCTCGATTCTCGTGTTGTCTCCTCTCTAGAGAGCTCAGCTTGACTCTGATTCAGTTTAGAGTTAAACCAAACAAAGGAATCAAGCTTTTGTGAAGCTGATGTCATCCTGAAAGAGAAAGATATGAAATAAAAGCAAGACGTGTCACATCCTCTTGTTGTCTGAGTCATGATATCTCAGTTAGAATGAGTAAGAAGTGTGAATGTCATCGTGCCCCAGACCAGATGAGTCGAGGCGATATGACGTCAGTCGTGCAGGAAAGGAGATGCAGCTGTTCCAAGGAGAATCATGTTCATCATTGGAGAATTGATGTAAGACAGGCAGGAGTCTCGTTTAATTTGATGTCAGACGGGTCAAATTAATGAGGTGAGAAACCAGTTCGGTTCTTCTGACGATGCTGCTTTCTCAATTTATCTCCCGCTGAGACAAAATAAACCTTTTAATTTTTGCCAGCAGATGGCTGTACACACTCAGGATGAGAAAAGTGGGCTTTGAGATCTACTAGAATACACAAAAGTGATGTTTCAATCAATTATTAACACCAACTGTTTATTTTGTTATTTTTGTCATCCCAAGCTCCTTTGTTGACTGATACTGCAACACAATTCTTAATTTCCTATTAATAAATAAAGCATCAATCAGTTTACAGTGAGACTGAAAATTTTCTATTTACAATTTAGCAAAATATTTATGCACAAAAAGAACAATGCAAACCCAATTAATACATGCCAATTGTAAACAGCTTCGTTTTTCTGTTTCCACGCAACATCCTTGAATAATCCACCAGAGGGTGGAAGAGTCTAGCAAAAGACCAGCAGCTTGGTAGAGGTGATGGATGAGTTTTTCCCTTTAATGAGGATTTCTTCATGAATTGGTTTCAACACAGAGACGGGAAGATAAATCCAGATAAGTGCATGTTTTGATTAAAGACTTCTCCGCAGAGCTCTGATGACTGACCTCTGTGTTCAAACCCCTCACAAGGATGCATGCAATAATGAAAGTGGAAGTACTGCCTCTGCAGTCATGAATGCACAAGTCTTTCTGATGCAAAGTAATGCAAAGAAGCGCCGGAATGAGCCCTGGCCATCGGGGGGGAAACACAGAAAGCTGGAAGATGTATGGACACGTCCGATTTTTGGCTGGAGGCTTTGCAGCACTGTGTTTACCTGGACAGCATTTGTCAGTAAAAGTCACTGGGTCAGATAATTGAATGAAAAGAGACAGATGGCGGCAGCATTTACTGCTGATTACATGGAAGCTGTAAAGTGCCTCTCAGTAGCTGGGGGTGTCAGGACCCAGCCTATTAAACCACCAGAGCCTGAATCTTAGAGGGATGCAGCTGCAGCAGGAGGATTGTGCACACTGAAACTGACTGCTGCAGACACCAAGATGCATTCTCTCAATAGCTTTAAAAAAGCAAAACAATATTTGATCTTGCGCTTATTTGCAGACTTCCTGACCCAGAAGCAGCTTTATAGCAAAATATATCAGTTCTTCAAATATTTGGAGATTAGGGATGCAGCTGCTGTCACTCGCATAGAGTAAAGGATACATCTCACAGACCTCTAGGCTATGAAAAGATTGCAGAGTGGCTGTATGTGCACAATGCACTCAATATAAATATGCTGATGTTGGGGTCATACATTCAGAAATGACAGAGAGGATGCATTCTTCTGAAAACCTGCAAGACAAAGTCTCCTAACCAAAGCTGCATCAAAATTATAGTTTAAGGTTGAAGTTAAATATGCATGAGACTTGAATTTACCTTCCTAACAATTCACTGCACAATTCTGAGTCTGATTCAATATTCTGCAGGAAAAAAAACACTGATGCTGTAATTACATTTGTGAAAAAACGCATTTCCTTCATTCTGTTGCTCAGCCTGCTGTTCATTTACATTTGTCTGATGCATTGCCTTTTCTGAGAATGTGTGAGCTGATCACACTGATTTATTTTCCTACCAACACCTCAAGTCAGGCAATCAATACTCCAATTACAGGTAGGCTTCCCTTCCTGACCTGTGGAACAGTGGACATCAGTGAACATCTTAGTCAAAGTGATGGTCAGCACATGTTCAAAAAGTTAGTCAGAGAGATAGTTATTTTTTGATCTAGCTTAACAAAAAAAAACAAGTGCAGAAATGCAAATCTCTAATGTGATTATTGTTTTATGCAAGGCTGCAGCAAGTGTAAAAACAGATGTTTGTGTTGGTGTTAATGATGTTTCTGCATCAGACAACATGCAGAACACCATAGGTTTAGTGCAAAAGGTATAAATAACATGAATGCATTTGAATTTATTGTAATTTCATGCAAACATTTTTGTAACCTTTGCTGAAATTTGTGCACATTAAAAAATAATAATGGGTCTGCAGCAGCTTTTTGTCCATCTCACCTGGACTAGATTCCAGATTAACTCTTTTAATGGTCACTACAGTGGACAGGTACTCAAAATTGTTATTTATTTATTTTTGCTATTAAGCACAGCTGTTGAAGACTTTATTGCATTTGAGCCCCTCCATTTGGACTTCAGTAAGTCAAGCCAACATATTTCATGTTCAGAATGCACGCTGTCCACTGAGGTGGACATGTAATAAATTATTTGTAAATTAAATATTACAAAAAATATGTAAATATGAAATTGGTTTCATTCACACCTAAAGATGAATGAAAAAAAAACTGTTAAAAAATCATGTTTGAAGATTTCATAATTCCTGCATCAAAGGGTTAAAAATCATTTGAAATATTTTATTTTTGCAATTAAAAATATAAATCACTACGTGTTGATAACTAAAGTTATTTTCCATCACCAATCAAACTTTTTCAATTTGACTTGAGCACCGAGAGTTGTCCTGAAGATTCCAACTCCATCAGAAGCTTTCCTTTCTCTCGCGCTGCGTTCTGTTCCAGCTGCATCGACAGGACGGTAAATTGAAGGCCGATCACCTGTCTGGAGGGAACCAGATGCATCAGCATAATCAATTCCTCCAGCTCCAGTGTGCTGCTCATTCAAAATCCAAACCCTTCACAAATCACTGCACCTGACCTGCGAGTTCAGGTTGAAAACCATCTGAACTCCCATCCTGCATCAATCATGACCATTAAACTCCCTTCCAGCTCATCAGGATGCGTTGGACACTAATAGAGACAGAGTCTACCCATTTGCTTTGTGTTCGCTCATTTATTTCTTCCAACTTACGAGGCTTTTATTCAGATGTAATGAGAACGGCCGGAGAATTCCTCATGTCTGTGTGTGGCTTCATCTCTTCGGCTCGTCACCTTTTACCTGCAGGCCTCACGTTAATGATGACTAATAGAGTCCAAAGGGGAAGTGAGCAAATATCCAGAGGAGGCGAGTCGTCATGAATAAATATTTGTTGTTCATGTTTGATCAGTGTTTCTCTCTGACCTGCCTGCAGAAATAAGGCTGTTTTTCAGTTTTCATTCATAAAAATGTCATTTTATTGCACATTTTAACACCACTTTTACATTTATAGTTTCATTCTTTAGTGCATTTCATTAATTAATCATTAGAAGGGTATTTTTTAATGATCCCTTTGCATTGTGGTATACATAATTATGGAATACCAAGTGTAAATTAATGGTGAAAATGGTTTAGCGGACACTGTTTTTAATTACATAAGCAAATTTTTCCTACATTTAGCAACTTTCATCTCATTTTAAATGATTAAATGTCACATAATTAAATCTAAATTATAAATCTAAATCTAAATGTTAAGTGTAAATGTTTGATGTAAATCTAAATGTAAAAGTTAATTGTATATATGTGAAAGCTAAATGTTAAATGTATATCTTACATTGTATATTGTTTTAAATGAGATGAGAGTTGCTAAATGTAGGGAAAATGAGCTAAATGTAAAAAAAATGTCTGCTAAATAATTTGCACCGGCAGTTTACACTTGACATCCCATACATAATATATTCTCTGTAGCAGCAAAGCACCAGAATTTGAAGGAGTTTACCTGTTTGTGTTGAAGATCTAGATATCCATTATCAAGCATGTGTCACTATGTTTGCATTTCATCATCAAAGCATTCATTTGTGTGATTCCCCTGTTAAAATGATTGGAGAAGCCTTCCACATGCTGGTGGAGCAGTGTTGGTGATCAGAGCAGCGATTGGCTCATAGCTCTGTCACTCAGACAGGAAATACTCCCCGACTTCCTCTGCCCTCTTTTCCTGATGCAGCCTGAGAGGAGGGAGGGGAATGGATCTGTTCTGTGTGAGACGCCGGCACTACCTCACCCTGCTCCTTACCACCTGTCCTTGACTTGGCGAGACAGAGAGGAAGCTGCCCTGCTCCCTCCTCCTCCACCACCTTCATATCAGTGCTTATGAAGGTGTCTGCAGTCCCTTTTTTTAATACTTCACTCTGTGGCTGCTGCTCCCATCTGTGGTGCTTCAGTGAAGAGAAGCTCCATCCTCGGCCGTTGGAGCTCTGATGGGAGGCGGCGTTGACTCCGGCTGGGACTGGGGATGCTGAGCGGAGGGAGGGAGGGCCTGTTTGAGCTGGGACAGCAGCTCCAGCAGCAGGGGGAGTACCAGGCTGCCCTGCATTGCTTCCTCAGCTGCCTGCTGGGTCTGACCCACGTACAGAGCTTCACCTCTCTGCCCAACTGCCTACATCAGGTGAGTCGGATGGGAGCTCACCTCACATTCACACGCAGACCAATTTAATCCATTCCTCCTATCGCTGTTTTTTTGCATGTCATTGTTCTTTTTGCATCACTTCATCTGCACACAGGACCCATTTAACCTTGATTTGTCCAACACCAATGTCCGCTTGTCAGCCAAAACTGGAGGATGACTTCTGTCCCAACAGGACTGACGGCGTTTCTGCTGTGGAGAAACTTTTTAGCCGTTTGCCGGCTGGGATGCTTTACGAGTATCTCCACAGCAACTCTTTAAATTCCCAGAAAGAGTGTCAAAACATTGCCTTTGCTCCAGAACTTTACAGCATGCAGGATGATGTTGACCAGACTTTTGATGCTCGTAGGAGAGCGCCGCTACGTGATTTAGCTGCTCTCCGCGCCGTGCACGCACAAACTCAGGATTTGTGTTGGAAACCTTTCACTTAATCACGCCTGCTGGTTGTTTTTCTGTCCTCTGCAGATTGCCGAGCTCTTCATCTCTGAAAAAAACTGTATCCTTTGCCAAGAAATTTAGAGAAACAAGCTCTGTTTCTTCATCTTTGTGCAAACTCTCATAGCTCAGCAGTTAAAAGTAGCTGGTTGTCCCTGTCAGGTGAGCATGGTAGCACACGTAGAGCATTCCAACACAATGGGGGATGTAGACCATAAATAAGAGAACAATGTAAACAAAGAGACACGAGCAGAGTTCATGGTCAGGCATTTGTCCCAGGATGCCGTGTGTGTGTCACTGTGAAGGTGTGTTTGTGCCTTAAGAGGATTTGTGGGCTCTTATCTCCGTACAGCAGAGAGGAGAGCACTAATTAGCCTGCATCAGCGCTGAGTAGCCCGTGTATCTCCACTCCAGCACCACTATAAACCATAGCAGCATAGGACAGAGAGATAATAGAAAGGTGTTGTGTTTCAGGATGCATTACCCTCACAGCTCCTCTCCTTGTTACTGAGACACTCCAGCACTTAAGTCATCAGCTCAGGTTATCTACCTCACCGAGGCTCTGCCTCTCACTGTCCACTTTCCAAAACAGGTCAATTTGCTGAGCTTCCCTCCTTCTCAGGTCATCATGGAGAGGATATTTGCTTCAAACACTGTGACAGAGTTAGCTTTTGATGCAGTTACATCAGATCACGTACGGTGTCGTACCCCACGGCGGAGCTCAGAGCTGTCGAAGCTACGTTACGTGCAACCACACGACTTATTTGGTCATTTTCAAGCTCACGTCAGTTCTTTTTGCAAAACATTCCCCTTAGGAATGAGGTGAAAGGTCACCCAGCTTGAACTGGAGGCAGGATGTGGGAACTGGAGTCTCACGCAAATGTTTTACGAGAGCAAAAATAGCAGCATGTGGGTTCATAGATAATAGTGAGAGTGGTTAAAGGAAGCTGGGTTTACACAGAGTCCTGGGCTGATGTTACAGTAAGGTGGAATAAACCAGCTGTAATTGGTGGTGGTTGAAGGCAATGTCCGTGTGATGGTCGCGTAACGTTTGATGTTTTGTTCTCAGAGTTGGCCGAATGAACAGGAGACCTGTTTTTAGCTAAAAGCTCTTTTGGCAGTGGGGTGGGTGCTGACATGAGGTGATAGATAGATAGATAGATAGATAGATAGATAGATAGATAGATAGATAGATAGATAGATAGATAGATAGATAGATAGATAGATAGATAGATAGATAGATAGATAGATAGATAGATAGATAGATAGATAGATAGATAGATAGATAGATAGATAGATAGATAATTTCTTGGTAAAAACTTTACAATAAGGGTCCCTTTATTAATGTTAATGCATTAATAAGTGATAAGAAAACAAAAAAATAATGTAATAATTTAGATTACATGTTATTTAATAAGCCATAAGGTGTAGGATTCCATAGGAAATATGAAATCCACCTTACGGATCGGTGAGTTATTTAAACCAGAAGATTGGACCTTTTTGTTGCAGGGATTAGATAACCGCTTCGTATTCACTCAGAGACAACAGAAGAGAGAGAGTCAAGTTTAAAAGTTAAGAATTTTGTTACTAACAAATTAAACTAGACTGACTTTAAACACTAAATGTATGGTGTAACTAAAGTGGATGAGAGGGTGAATGGATGACGTGTGATGTTAATCAGAAGCAGCAAATCCGAAGAAGCGATTAGTTCTGACGGGAAATGAAGGTGATGTCTTCGCATTAAGCTTTGGTTAGGAATTCAGAAACACATGAGACACCATTTGCATCTACCTACCCTTCGGGAAGTCCTCTGGAGATCAGGAATGTCGAGGTCCAGCTTGACCCTCTCTGGAACCGAGCCGGTAGGAAAAGCAGCGGTTCCGATCAGACCAGTCTGTGAGTTACTTCCGGGTACACGACAGTTTGTTGGTGTCTGGTGAGACCCAAGCCTGGGTCTTGATGGTTCAGCTTTTGTTCTGAAAGGAACTGTTGCAGCAGTTGGAATAGCAACAAATTTTTCTTTTCAGCTTGTCGTTCATTCTTTCGGTTGAAGAGTTTTAGATCAGGATTGGCCACTCCGTCACTTTCTCTAGAACGCTTTGAACTGGCGTTAGAGATGACGTGGCATAGTTTTATACTTCGGATGTTATGGTTTATGGTCGAATGAAAAATTACCAAACACCATCAAAACCACGCCTCCGTCAGATCTGTCAGATTCTGACTGGATCAGTGAAAGTAACGTGTCATGTCTTTTTAACGCTACGTGAAACGAGTCCTGTTGGAACATTTAAAGTCACAGTACCTTTATATTCTATAGGATTATAATAAGGTAATTAATATTTTGATTTCACAGATCGGTCACATCTTATTTATTGACTAACACTTTGATGGATTAGCTTTATTAAAATAGAGTTCTTTGATTAATTAAAAGAAAAGAGTTCATTCTTCATTCTTCTGTTGAGCTGAAAATAAGCAGGGTAGAAGGAATGCATCCTGCGAGACCTTGAGACCAAATCTCATGCAGACTAGTCTTGTGCAGAGGAGGGAAAAAACAGTATTTTCATTCCGTTACAATAAAAAATAAAGTATTAGCAGTTGCTTACCCCAAACCGCACCTTTGTGCCAACCTTAAGGACACTTAATGGTTAATAATAATTGTTATTATATTGCTTAATAATGCACTAAGTAACTTAATAAAAGGGACCCATTTTATCGATGCCTAATAATGCACTGAATAGCGTTAACAAAAGGACCCAAATCCAAGACTCCTGCAGGAGATCTCAGATGTTCGTACACTCCAGGATTTTTCTGGATCTCTTGGCTCTTCGTTCCTAGGAGAGAATCGCTCCTGGTTCCAGTTGTTCCATTGTTGTGGTTTGGAAGAGGTAAAAATAGCAGGAGGAAAACGTGCTTTGGCCTTTGGTCGTGGCTGCTCCCTCCGTTCTCCCTCACAAATGCTCTGCCTCATACTTTCTCTATTCCCAGCTGCCAGGTGACTCTGGGGCAGGTACTTCAGCCCTTCCTGAAATAGCCTGAGCTCTACTGAAATCTGCTGAAAACATTAAAGCAATGTGCTTTTATTGTGGAAGGTTGTGGACCATTCACAGCTGCAGATACTTGAAACGACGTGCACTGTGCTTGATTTGATGACAAATTTAAAGTATTTAAGTGCTTTCCAGATGCGAAACCACATCCGCCACGTGTTTGGCTTTAATAATTAAGAATGATGACAACAGTTGTCAGTGCTGTGAGAGCAAGTGGCCCAAGATGGAAATATTACTCATGAGAAATCTGCTGTTAAGTGGGGCATTTCAACAGAGGCTGCTGTGTTTATTTTAGGCACTCTTCATCCTATTGGTCATTATCTTCACCTGACAAGCATCAATGGTGTCTTTTTACAGTGACAAGAACCCTCAGAGCTCAGGATGCTTTTACAAAACGAGCTATTTTTAGGAGACTTTAAATAGATTATTTTTCATGGAAACAAATCTCCGCCATTAAGCTCAATCAGAAATCATCTGAAAAGATAAGAGGTGCTTAAATGTTAAAAAAAATCCTTCAGCTGATGAGTAATCAGTCTACGATTTGTTGTGAATTTCGGTTTCTTACCAACAAGAAAAAAACAAAAATATTTCCTGCGTCTGGAATTGTCATAATAAATTCCTGACGTCCAGACCGACATGGCGCTCTGGATTACTACGTGGTGTGTGTGCCCTGAAGGGGCCGTGCTTTTGTGGAATGGAAAAAAAGAGAGAGAGCAGAAACGTGAGGGCTGTTTTTAACTTCCACAACTGACTAATCCTGTTGACAACAGAGACAGATCCTTCACTCATATAAACAGATGGAAAGGCCCTCCAGTTCATCCAGGCTGAAAAGATGTTCTATGAAGTGGCGCTGATCGAGCTCACGGCTCTTCAGGGGAGCACAGGCAAGTAGTATTTAAAAAATAAGCTTCTAATTGCAACTTCTGGGGATGCATTATGATATATAGAGTAGTGGTTTTAGTTTTTAATCTTTGGGGTGAAACATGAGTTCAGTTTGACCAAACTTATAGGGAAAAAGTGTTATTTTTTGTATTATTTCACAAAATAAACTTATTTTCGGATTTTTTTCTACTTAAATTCAGCAAAAGATATAACTTCAAAGGCAAACGGATGCTTTGTTTTTATTAGGATTTGTGGTTTTAAGTCTTTGTGTGCAGCACTGGTTGAAACAAATAAAATAAACTAAAATAAAATATGGAGAAGTTTGAATAAAAACACACACATTGTTGCCTTATTAAAATGTCTGGTGCGTCCCTGTTAGCTCATATTTTATTATAACCATCATTGATTTCAGTTTAGTAAAAGGAAGAAAAATAATAAAAATTTTCATTTCTATTTTATTTACTAGAAAGATGTACTGATGCTGGTTTTAGGGTTATTCTGATTCATCTCAAATAAATACAATTAGCAGAAGGTGTTTGAAAAGTAAAAAGATGTATTCGTTGTTTTTTAATTAAGTAAAATGATCCATATGTGCAATTTTTCACTACTCGTGTGAATTAATGCTAGTGATGGTGAGTTCAGGGACAGGGAAAAATGTTGGATTTTTTTTTAAAGACCAGGTTTATTCAGGCTAAACGAGAAAATAGTCTTCCACCCCTATTTCCTGCTTGAGTCGCCGATAGAAAAGAGATGGGGAAACTTTCGGAATAGAAACGCTTGAGACCTTTTTGCGTCACATTGTTGAGTTAGCATTCATGGACTCACCCATCTTGGCTCATGATAGGGAAGGCTGCTGTGGATTTAGGATCCAGGAAAGAGTGGAGCACGTCTCGGCTATTAGAAGCTAACCGTTAGCATTAGCAACTCCACCACACGGCAGAACTCCTTCAGGCTTGTGTTATTTTTGGAGATAAAACATCAACATTACAAAGCAAACAGAGTCAGTGGTAGAGTTGTGTTGCTGTTAGCCAATCGGAGGCAAGATGTCTGAATATGACAGGGAATATGACTCCAAATTTCTCCGTCTGTTGCCCACTTCTGCTCTGGCTCACTTCTACTTCCTGAAAAAGGAACGCCAGAGCTTTTCCCCCACAGAGATCGACTCACAAGGCATTTATTTATACTAGAGAATGAACAAACTTGGAAACAAAACTTTAGACAACTGAAAAAGTTAAAGATAAGTCACTGGTTCGTCCCTGATTTGGCTGATTTTGCTAAAGGGGTGATAGAAATCTTCATGAATTTTAAAAATACAAACAAATGAAGTTTGATGTTTCCACGCGACCCTTTGGTGCCCTGCTTCACCTACAGCTCCATCAGTATGCTAGTTAAATCATACGTGAGCATCACTCATTCATCACCTATTCTTCTCTGCTGCTGAGGCAGCAGCGTAGCGTGGGCGCAGTGGAGGAAATCAGAGGCAGGCAAAGCAGAAGACAAATGGCCACATTTTCTCATTAGGAGCTGTGCGTCGCTACAGAATCCAGAAGCTCCTGATTCAGCACTGCCTCAGGTTGAACTCCTCCTGGGGCAGAGATGGCAGCTTAGTCTCCCTTTAGAGTAAAATGACTCCTTGTTGTACTTCATCTCTGAAAGCTGATATATTTGTCATTTTGTTGAAGTTTAATGCAAAGCGGAGCCTCTGATTTTTTTGTGCTAACTTGAGGTGTTGGTTCCAAACCGCCATCTACAGCTGGACGTGTCTCAGCGCTCCATAGGCGCTTGGCTTTCTCCTGTCCTTATCTTTACTCTCCTGTCCTCAGGCCACAGTTGGCTCCTCGTCACTGATCAGGCTTAAAGTCTGTGGTGTCACAGACAAGCTGATAGCCAGACTCTCAGTTCAGGTTCTGGACTCAGCAGGACGGGTTTGGAAGGGGAACGGTTGTTGCTGCTTGTTCTGAAAGGCGTCTATGCCTTGTGTTTCTGTAACAGGGCCTCAGGAGGAGGCCAGTCTGGGCTCTGCAGGATGGATGACCCCAGAGGAATTTTCAGAGCAGGCCTCGCAAGCTCAGCACCTGGAACGGCTGGCTCAGCTCTGCATCATGAGCAAACAGTAGGTAGAAGTCGGCGCTGGGTGGTGAACTTGTTCACCGTCTCAGCAGGCTCATCTTGTGTGGCTTCTCATGTCATAAGCTTTCCACAGAGTTCAGAATGTTTCACATTTCTGCTGCTAGACTTTTTGTGAATGTTATTTTTAGGGGATATGGGTTAAATTTCCTCGTCTATGTTGTGAGAAACTGACACCGCGTTCCGCCCAGGCGAGGAACACCTCAACCAGGTCCGGTGTCTCCTGTTGCGTGGGTGCTTTGTTCGGACCTGCAGCATGCACGCGTTTTCTGAGCTCCTGTTGTCGTTGCTGGGATTAGGCCATTTAACCTGATGTTCTCTGGAGGGTGACGGAGGGTGGAATGTTTCCCTTGTTGGAGGGCCGGACACTTAAATAATGCAAAGAGCATGGAGTGGTTAAAGTTAAATGAGATGGTACTGGTTGAACACGACCGTGCTAGAGGGCTTGTGTTTCCAGGTGGATTCACATTTTGATATTTTCTTATATTTTAGACCTCTTTAAATCAAACAACAGTGACTTCTTCTTACAATCTGAATGTCATTATGGTTAGAGTGTCTTTACGCTCCCAAAAGACCTTTTTTTTAGCCTTCCTGATCATGTCCTCCAAGAAAGACTTTCCAAAGCATCACAAACAGACACCTGGCTGTTACTAATTGCAGCACTTTATGTTTTTGGATCAAGATGACGTCTGTCACCCTTTACAGAGCTTGCTCTACATCTACGAGGACATGCAAAAGGGTGTGGGGGGGGTGAGTGTCCTTGGCTGACTTTACTGAACAGATACAAGCAGAACAGCTGGTAGTGAAAGTCATCACATTCACCTGGCTTAGCACTAAACCGGAGAGGCAGTAAACCCGACCTGTAAGCACCATTCTTTTAATTCCCCCTGGAGGACAGACAGACAGCAGTGATGTTGGCAGAAAATAAAGGTTTCCACTTCGTGCACGAGGCGCCGCCAGGCCCACGGCCGTGCCGTCTCTGACCAGTCACAGCTCACACGTGCTTAGGTGCGACTTGCTGTTGAGCTCCAAACGGTGAAACTGATACGATACGTATTTACAAGTCCAGCAATGCCATTCTCTGTATTTTTAATTGAAAACATTTTATTTCATTGTGAAATTCTGCTTGTTTTGCTGAATTACTTCATATCTTGCTGCTCTTCTGCCTAATGATCCTATTTTCTTTTCTTTCCTCAGACCTCATCTAGCCCTAGAATACAGTGGTAAGGTAGGCTGTCATTGCTTCCTTCTTTGTTCTTTTTTTGTTTTTTGTTTTTTTCAGATTTTAGAAACTAATTACGGATACAAGTTTTAACTTTATGGGTTTGTGTCATTCAGGCTACAAAGATTCACCAGAGGGCCTTCGGTAATGACCATCCGATCACAGCCAGAAGCCTGGAGCTCATGGCAACTGTCTATGCTGAGATCGGCAAGACTGAATATTCAGGTGAACACTGAGGGACGCGAAGCAGAAAGTAAATAGGGGTGTCATTCTGGAGAACAGCCCATCAGCTACTGACAATACACGGATTATTGAGCAGTGAAAAACAAACAAGGATGTGTAATTTAACAAACCACACCTGACAGCCATGTGGAGCAGTCTTCAGCATGCACGGTGGTGTAAAACACTTGGCTGAGCCTCTAAAGCATGTAAACCCATGAAAAGCTTAAATTAATAAACACTCACAGTTGTACTGGACACACAAGTAGTTTTTTACACAGAGGGAAATGTGAAAAGTGGCTTTGTGACAGTTTGAGGCTGTGGTTTTGTTCTGCTTGGCAAAAAGCAACCCTCTCTGTTCGCTTCAGCATTTTTACAAGGACCGCTTCGCTGTAAAAGCAATACGTTAAAAAGCTACCATGCTGTCGACTCAGCGGTTAGGCATGAGGCAGAGGCGCCGAACACGAGCAGCAGCTAACATCCAAACAGATCTGTGACAAAAAAAATGTCAGGTGAAACATTGAAAATCATGTGCAAAAAAGAAAAAAAAAGACTGTAGCAGCAGATTGTATCACGCTGCTGCACCAGTGCACTTTTGTGACCTTTTATTTTTCTGATGCACACAGCAGATTCTCCTCTGACCTACAGCAGGGTGCTCTATCACTGTAAAACGAAATAGCTCCATTTGTGTTTTTCTGCTAACTGAACAAAGCTTAGATGCTGGAGGTTAACGCCCAGCTGCATGTTTGTATTTAGAAAAACTCTGAGATGCTACATGAGTGAATTTGGATTCAAATCCATCCATTTTCATCCGCTTATCCGGAGTCGGGTCGCGGGGGCAGCAGCCTAAGTCGAAAGGCCCAGACTTCCCTCTCCCCAGCCACTTGAGCCAGCTCCTCCAGGGAAATCCCAAGGTGATCCCTGGCCAGGTGAGAGACATAGACCCTCCAACATGTCCAGGGTCTACCTTTAGGCCTCCTCCTGGTTGGCCGTGCCCAAAAACCTCACCAGGGAGGCGTCCAGGGGGCATCCTGACCAAATGTCTAAAAAAAAACAATGAAATAAACAAATTTTTCTGTGTTAAAGGACAGATTTTAGAAGGCTGCCATTTATTGGCTTAAACTAAATCCAATTTCAAGTGTCCTTGTGTGTGATTTTTTGATTGAATGCATGATTGTTCAGGTTAAACACGATGAAAACGTCCATTTGTTTCATTCTGTGTTTCAGTTTTTACCGGAACGTGCCAATCCTAATTCCCTGTTCCTATAGATCAGTTGAACTGGTTTTTTTTCTTCTTCTTTTTTGATTTCCTGAAATAACCAGTAATTATTTCCAATGTAAATTTAGAAAAACCAGTAATATTGTAGGAAAATGTTGCGCCGGTGTCTGCTGTTTCTGTCCAGCATCCAGCACGCCATATACATCGAGAATTAACGTCTCCCTCGGAGACATCCTCCTCAAGGCTTCTCAGCAGATCGATTCAGATTTGCTTCACTCGTAAATTCAGACTCAACTTTTCTCCTTTCAAAAAGGCTGAAGAGGAGCGTAGTTTTTGTTTACAGTCAGTTTCCAAGTCTGCGCAGTGGCATTTGTAATTCGACACCAGCCATCAAAAAGCTCCAGAGTTGTAGATTAACCAGTTGAAGGAGCGACCCAGAAGTTATTTGTTGTATACCTGAAAAGCCACGGTGTCTTCTGTTTTACCCTAATACCGGGTAACGAAAGCTAAAGGCTAACATAGAGCTAACATTGAGCTAACAATTTTAATGTTGAATTAGAGGAAAACAGCTCTAAAATTATTCTAGCTCTTTTTTTAAATGAACAAGAACTTGACATTAAAGTGAAATGTATTTATCTACTGAACTTACTGCATATGACCCGTCTTCACTCATCATCTGCTGGCACTGAGCCGTAACTAGCAACAGCCATGAAACTCTTGGGATGGGGGTGAGAAAATGATAAATGGCCTGTGTTTGTATAATGCCTTCTTAGGGATCTACATCCCCCCCAAGGTGCTTCACAACACAGTCATTCACCCATTCACACACATTTATGTGCTGGTGGGATGAGCTACGATGTAGCCACCGCTGCCCTGGAGCGCGCTGACGGACCACCCCTAGGAAGTGATGTTTTTGTTTAGAAACAAAGACTGCTGTGTCTATATTTGATCACAGGATGTCATGACTTCATTCTTACATCGTGCACCTTTAAAGGGAGACTAGGCAGTTTTGCTTGCTTGTAGCACCCCCTAGTGTCTGCTTAGAAGAACCAATAGCAAAAATTATCTCCTCGCTGTGCTTTTGTCTTTTTTAACACCTTAATCTCACAATTGAAATGTCTCCCCAGCCTCCATTACTGTTTACAAGAGCAGTTGATCATCAAATTATACAAATCAGCTGTGTTACTTATCTAAAACATGCAGGAAACACGCTGGAAGCAGACTGCAGCCCCAGGCATATCAGCTCCAGAGGTGGCGGACCGCCATTCTGAAGTTGCAAATGCTGTATTCTGACCACAGAGGGCGGTGGGGGTCTGAGTGACATTTCTTTAACCCTGTAAAGGGTCGTTTTAGCACAAAGAGGCTCAAGAAAATGATTTTAAAATGTGAAAAAGTTGCAAACTATCCCTTTAAAAGCTGCAGATCCCCATTCTAGACCCCATATAAAGTATCTGAGACACACATTTCAAACAGATCAGTAGCTCGCAGTAAAACAATGAGGTTGCAAAGATGAAACAACTATAAAGGTACCTGAGCTGTCACAAAACCTTTGAGTGAAGCAGGAAAACAAAAAGCCCCGAGGGTTAGTCTTTAATGTAGAGCATTCTGCTATTACAAAACCAGCACCTTCTTGTCTTTTTCATTTTTAGTTTATATATAAATGCATATAAATTTAAATCATGACATGTGAATGAAAATGCTTTAAAACCTAATAATTACATTTTTTTTGTTCTTAAAGACATAAATGACTTTTATATTGATGTCAAAGCCACAATTGTTTTAGAGATTTGTGGCTCAAAATATCCTGATCGTCCCTTCAAACGTAGGACGACGGCAGATAGAGAAGTGTGTAAGGGTTAATCCCAGATTGCTCCTTGCAGGAACATTTGCATGTTCGCTGCTGTGTGTTTATCATGTGGTCTGCCTTGACTCCAGCCTCCAGAGCCAAGCAGCGCTCTGCTCATGTACCGTGTGATCATGGTTGTTTTACTAGACTCTCTGGGCCAGTGTGTGTCTGCGCTGTCCAAACGCTTCACTGCTGCCGAGTCCCTCAGAGACACCGTCAACCGTCTTCCTCATTCCCATCGGGAAAAACACTCAGAGGCGCGCCACAGGAAGGACACGCACCACCACCATCAGGAGGACACGCTGAAAGCCAAGGTAGGGACTGCAGCAGATGATGATTTATCTTTATTATTTATTTCTTTTTATCGCCGGGTTGGTTCCTGCAGCTTGACACTCATGCACACAAACTGACGTAGGTAACCAGTGGCAAAGTCCCCACCTCCATTCTGAAGCGGCCAAGTCCCAGTTATGGGTCCGATGCAGAGCCCAACCACAGACGGAAGGGCGAGCGCAGGGTTAGATTCAGGGAGCCAGAGACCACAGTACACGGTAAGAAGATTTCCAGTCAATTAGTGTATAAATTAGGCTTGATGGTGTCAGGGGGCGACGCATCACCTCTGAGGTTGTCTCCTCTCCTCTGTTGCTTTCACAGATATTACTTACTCTGACTGTTTAGGTGGTAAGTGTGTTTAAAATGATCTCTGTGTTGCACGAGGAAGCACCAACTAGTAACAAGGATTGTTGGGTCTAACGTGCTTTTAGCTAATCTCTCTCACTCCCTTTCTAACAACACACACATGCTAGAGTCTGTGTGGCTTTTCTGATTTGTTGCATCAAAAGGAGAGTAGGGTTCATTCAAATTCAAATCATTTACAAGACAAATACCTTTAAAAGTTTCTTGTGGTTTCTTCTTTTTTGTTTGTTTGTTTGTTCTGGTTTTTTTAGCCTATGAGACGACTCCATCCCGCCCGCACCTCGCCCTGTTCACCTGCCTCTTCCTGCTGATGTCATTCCTGGGCGTGGCGATGTACTGCACAGACCGCCGGCGCCCTCAGCGCATGTGCGAGGATCTGGAGGCCGCCTTGGCCGTCTACCTGCTGCACATGAAGCAGCTTCTGTGGGGCTGCTGGATATGGCTGACCATGCAGTGACTGTGATGAACCACAGGTGGAGTCGTGGAGCCGCCTTTCTGTTTTTATTCCTCTGTTTTTATAAATATATTAGAGGGTGCCCAGGCCTGCAATCACCTCAGACATTTTTGCAAGGCTCTATAGACTGTCGGTGGCGTTGCACCACTCCCACATAAAAACGGGATGATCTGTAATCCCAGAACATGTAGCTTCCACGTCTGTATGTAAATATGCATTTGGGAAATGTCACTTTGTAATTAAGTTGAGATGATATTTTGCACAAATTACACTCATTCAGTCACCGTTTCTCAGCTCACATCACAACCTCTGTGATGTTTCCAAGGAATGATATAATTTTTTTTTGTTATGATTCATAAATTATGTTTATTAGTCATTACATGGAAATGAATGTGTAAATATATATATGGGCTCAATATACTAAGGACTATCACTATCAGTATTTAGGCTTGCAATTGCACATAAATGAATGTAGAAATGTTTGGGAATCATGTGGTTTAAGTGTTTGGAAGGAAGAGGGTCTGAGAGGTGAGGAGGTGAACACAGAGCTACATCACTTCACAGTCTGAGTGGATGGATGAATACAAGAGGAGAACTATCTATCTTCAAGAGAGAAAATGCTTTTATCAGTTTTAAAGGTGTGGAACACTGGTTTAATCAATACACTTGCAATGGTCTCTAGTCAGAATAAATGCCTTGTAGGTTGTACTCGGGGGGGGGGGGGGGGGGGGGGGGCAGCGGAGCACCATTTCCAGGAGCTAGAAGTGAGCCTCATCCCACCTGAGCTTCAGACGGCAGGATTTGGAGTCTTATTTCCTGATTTTGGGACGTTTTGCCTCTGATTGGACAACAGCAATGTGACTCTACAACTGAATTGCAACATTGACAATTTACCTCCACAAATAACACAAGCCTGGAGGAGTTCTGCTGTTTGGTGGAGTAGCTAATGCTAATGGTTAGCTTCTACTAACTGGGACATTCTCTGCCGCTTCCTGGACACTAAACCAACAACAGCCTTCACTGTCGTGAGTAAAGATGGGTGAGTCCATGAACATTGTAGCAGTGTGACGTAGATCTGTCAGGCCTTTCAAATCCTACTTTTTTTTTCTTCAGTTTTTCTATCAGAAGCTAATGCATGAGATAAGTGTAGGAGACTATTTTCATGTTCAGCCTGCATGAAAAACTCAGAGTGACCAATTATAATCAGAAATATTGTTTCACAAATGGGTTTTTTGGTGTTCCACACCTTAAATTTCCCCTAAAGCCTTTTATTGTATATTATTGCATAACCCTGCGATGGACTGGCTCTCTGTCGAGGGTGTACTCCACCTGATTGCCCATTGACCGCTGGAGATAGCCCCCCCAACCCACCCCCGCAGCCCTACGTGGACAAAGCGGGTTCAGACAATGGATGGATGGATGGATGGATGGATGGATGGATGGATATTGCATAACCAATGTCTATCTTCAACAGAGTCCAAATTTTTGTTTCTGACTTTTATGTGATTTCAGTTAAGATATTCAAACTGTGATGTAAAATCCCCTTTTGGATTTGGATTAATATATGTTTCATAAACATAAAGAATCAAATTCAGCTCATTTAAGGCCAAACCAGACCAATCAATTTCCCTCTGGGATTAATAACGTATTTTTTGAATTGAATTGAATTGAAACAAAGACATATAAGAGAGCCAGATGCTGAATTTATTGTGTGTTTGAGTCCCTTTATGAATAAAAAACAGCCAGACCGCCACACGGACAGATCGTAGGAGCCAAACCGGTACAGTGACGCATGACTCACATACCTCTATGAGCAATAATAGCACGGTTTCCATCAGAACGGCAACAAGTTTCAGGGAACTTAAAACTGATGGTTCAGATCTCACATCTGAATTTCAAAGCAATATAAAGGAGCACTTGTCACTCTGTACTGTCATACCGAATCATCATTAGCAATAAAAGTGAACTCCTGTCTCTTGTATGAACACGTAGCTGCTTTTCACTGCTGTCTGAACACTTACGGCCACTTTGGAAGAAGTGCCTTTTCTTAGTTCCAGTCCCTTTATGATTTCACTTGTTCTGAATAAAAACTGTCATTGCCTCCAGTGTCTCCCTGTGCTCCTTCTGACTGGCTGGGATGTGATGTGACACAGCGGTGCATGTAGGTATATGCCATAGTCAGGGGGGCTGCCAGATATTTTGGGCCCCATGAAGAAATATCAAGTTGAGCCCCCTGGGGGCTCATCTATAGCTGGAGCTGGGGTTCCACCCTCCCAGATTCAAAGGGAGAAAAAAATATAATATATATACTTTATATTAGTGTTTCAGTTTTGCTTAATTATGTAGGTCTACATGCATTCTCAATTATTTACATATCATTTTCACCATGTTTCAAATTAATTAGTCAAAATAAAGTAGGGACCTCTGAATAAATATACATTTCATAAAGACTAAAAGACTGTTTGTTTAATGTCTTAAATGAGAAAAAATACTGCAAAGTAAAGTACTAGTGATTTTTAAACTTAATTTTTTTTTTGTTCAACTTTGAAACTTTTTTGGGCCCCTGACAGCTGTGGGCCCTTAGAATCTTCCAAATCTTTCACCGCTTTACAGCGCCCCTGACCATAGTGCAGATTATATTTGTAGCTTCATCGACAGATATTAGAATGTGTTACTTTAAATGCTAAAAGCTGCAAATTGTCATTTTTATAAAACACCTTTTTAGCTTCTGTGTGCTGCTAAATCAATTTTTCCCAGCATGCAAATAATTCTCCTTTCGCCGATCTCTTTTCTAATCAGAAGCTATACCTCGGGAGCACTTTTATTTGTGCAAGGAAGAAAATAACACCTTTCCACATTAAATAAAAACAACTCATTATTTATCATGCATTAGATCCATGCAAAGGTTTTAGAAAAAGAAAGTGTGACTCATCGGCCAAATTGCCCAGATCGTTAAGACTGTGTTGTTAAATACTTAACCAAGTTACTTCAACCAGTTCCACTAAACCTAATGGCTTAAACACAATTTACATAACATATTAAATACTCTTTAATCAACTCCTTGATATAACTTGGTTAGTACATACATAGATTAACAACTATCAGCAGATTATTGAGTGAATATGAGTTACATCTAAAGAAAAATGGATGCAAAAGCCAACTGATTCTGGTTGTCTCCACGGGTAAGCGTTGGGGTTTTCTCCTGGCGCGTGGGAGGACGTTGGGATTGAGTGTGAATGTGTGTGTCTGTGTGTTTGAGCAGCAGACAGGTTTTAGATCATGCCGGTACTGAGGTCTGAGTCACGGTGTGACGAGCGGCCGAGCAGCAGTTCCTTCTCGTGGATCAGGGAGTCCAGCATGTCCTCTTGTCTGTAGTTGTGGTAGACCTTCAGGAAGGCCAACACTGAGATCCCGAGCCAACTAAGCCACGCAGCCCAGAGGCCGAACTGAAACAGGGATATTTTCATGTCACGGGTATGAATCAGGATTTTATTGGAGTGTGGATAATAATTAAACCATTACCTGAGCTATTGCAAACTGGTCATAAAAAGCAGAGTTGTCCAGACCCAGTTCTAGATCTGTATCCTGCAGATCTTCACAGCTACATGGAAAAAGTGACATTTAGATTTAGGGCAGTATAATGTGGTGTTATAACATTTCCTGTCCTGTACCTGCTAGGCATGGTCCCACTCTCAGTGATTGCATCGCACCACAGGTTGAAACCCACGCTCACTATGGTGCTGGATAGAAAAACTGTGAACATCATCAGAGAGCTGATCATCAGGTTGAGGAAGGCGTTAAAAAATGAGCTAGAGGGAGAAAAAACCAAGAAGCATTTTAAATAAACATCTGGACTATGTTTTATGTCTAACAGGCCCTAAATACAAGCACACACATCTATTCCCAGCATTATTTAGCTTCTTTATGATAAATTATGTCTCTTACTCTCATAATAAATAAAAAAGATTGGATTATAATGCAGATTATCAGATGGATGTAGCATAATTCTTCCATATATTTACAGTAAACATCAGGGTGACTGTGCGTTTTTGCAGGCCTTTCCTGCAGACAGATCCATCATTCACATCGTTTCTGATTTTAGCAGAATGCCTGCAGAAAAGAGCGCTGATGGCACATCTGCACCAGAGCTAAATAGTGCATCCTGCTCCCCTTTATTGATTTAATTGTGCGGAGGGGATGCGTGCATGTGATCTGCACTCACTCGTCGTGTCCTTTGCACAAAAAGAAAAGCAGCCTCCACGCCTGCAGTGCGGACAAGATGAGGGAGGCTATCCCGATAAAGGTGGTGAAGCTGCAGCAGGACTCGGGTCCCCATTCCTCCACGATGAACCGCTGCTTCGACACCGTGATGTTCTCGTTCTGCCACATCCCCCGCGTGAACAGCAGGCATTTCCCGCTGAAATCCTCTGTGTTTTCCGACAGCGGCACTACGGCGATGAAACCGAACACAAAGGCTAAAAAATAAAGGATGCACTGGGCGAAAATCAAATGATCAAGGGCCATTTTTCTATCTGACAGCTCGGCGTCCTGCGTCCGGGAGAAGCCGCGGCTGCGCAGTGGAAGCAGAGAGGAGCGGAGGCGCAGCATCCGAGGACGCGCTGTGCTGCAAATTAACGAGTGGGCAGAGGCCTTCAGGGCTCTCCATCTCATCTCCATCCAATCCGGGGAGATGTGTCCCTCCAGTGGTCACATCCGCTGCAGTTCACTCGGAGTCAGTTCTTACGTTTGAAGATGCGACATCAGCAGATCTGGCTTTATGTCAAAGTATGGGGCGCCGATTATAAAATAAGGATTTTTTTAATCTGATTAATTTAATCTCATTTGCCCTAAATAAATATTTTTAAAATAAACATGCAGAATAAGACTGAATTTTACAAACTAAAACCCTAATAATTAGGATTCAATTTGAATATGAAAACTGTATCAACATATTTCTCTTCAAATCTAAATGTTTGAAGTTAAATCTAAATATAAAAAAGAACCTTAATGTTTAAAATCAAATGCAAAATTTTACAACTGAACGTTTATTTTAAAATCTAAAATGTAGTAAATGTTTTACAGAAAAATTAAATGTAAAAAAAAATCTAAATATATAGAATTCCATCTGAAATTATACTGTCACATATAAATAATGAAATCTATATGATTTTTTTAAATATCTATAATTATTTCTGAATAAATGAAGTTATATAAAATATAAATATTGTTTAAAAAATGTGCGCTAAAATGCAAATATAGACAGTTGTACAAAAAGAAGATGTTTATTGAAATTAAAACAGGGTGAAGAGATTGAGTCATGTTTTGTGGCATTTTCTTATCTTAGATCACCATCCCAGGACCATGACAGCTCCCTAACACAGACCAGATGAATAAAAGACACTAGTGGAGCAAACAAGTCTTGGGCGTCTTATACTGTAGCATATTGTCTGAAAATATTACTAAAGAGACCTCATTGGGAACGTACAAGTTGCTTGTTTGTCTCTTCTGGGATCAATACATTCCATGCTGAGGAATTTGATGTTTAAGTTTATTTGTCAAGTTAATCAACGTGAAAATGTGATTATTAAGTGCTTGGTTAATGCTGACTGTAGTACCACACACTATCAGTCTGAATTATGGCATTGTTGGTATAGGTGTTTATATTGACTTTCTTGTATCTTTGTCTTTTCTTGTGTCGTTTTTATCTTATGTTTGTTTTTATTGTCTCTGGACCTTGAGTCTGTTAATAAAAGTTGATTGATTTAAACCTGCTTTTATTTTGCTAGGCTACTTGTTTTTCAAAATGATTTGCCTGTCAGCAAAATATTTCAGAATATATTTAAAATCACATATTTAGAATTTAGATTAGATTAGAGATGTGTAGGTATGATTTTACAAAAAATATTTTGTTTTAAGCATTTAGTGTAAACAGTATATATGCAGGTATGTATTACTATTTTCTGGCTTTCTGCATTAAAAACAATTATGATGCTGTTGTTTATTTCTTAAAGTAAGAAAGAAAATCTTATGGTGCCTCTCAAGATAACAATCACAAGGCGCTTCACAAAAACAAAGCAAAAAATTAAAGGGGGGCATGCAGAGGTCTTCACAGAGTTAACAAGTTTGGTTAGCTCAGGCAAAGAAACAGGAGCAAAGCTAGGATGACGGGCCAGGTTGGAGTCGGAAGAGGCAGAGATAAGGCTGAGGCATATTTCTTAATAAATTACTTTACAGTCAGTGCCCCAAATACCTGGCTAGCATCCTTTAGGAGAGAGTGGATGAATCTGCAGGGATTGGGATAGATTAACGTCCATTATTGGGATTTTGAGAGGTTGAGGACCAACAAACTGTAAGGCAGGGAGGAAATTATCTCCGTCTGGCCCCAAAACAATTTCTAATTGGAATCTGGCACCCTTGAGCCTGCAAGGCTCCAACGAAAACTCCCCCCTCAGAAGATTTGTGGAATGTGCCGTCGCTATGGCAACTCAACTCTGTCTCCTTTCCCAGCCTGGGCGGGACTGCGGGAAGGCCGCTGAAACATTCCAGGGTCACTGCAACCCTCCAACCCTCAATGCTCCTCCCCCTATCCACACTGAGGTGACATGCGCTGCTTATTGTGGCTGCAGGAACTGAAGTGGGGATAGTCCCAACCCACCACAACACCTAGTGGACACTTATGTTGTGTTGTCTGAAGTCTGTTGCATGTATATTCGAGGTGGGTTTTTTTTTGTTTGTTTGTTTTTTGCAGAGCAAAGCTGCCCTCCTGGTGGGAAGGGTAACTCTGAAGTGCCTTATTTTCCCTCCACCTGAACCAACCCTCATGTTACCCTCTGATGTCTATTAAGGTAGCGTGACTCAGGGTTGCGAATGACCACAGTCACCAATTCTTGTCATGTGTCTTGCCCATGTATGTCTGATCTCTGAATTGTGTGTACTGAAACTCTAATTTCCCTCTGGGATTAATAAAGTATCTTTGATTTGATTTGATTTGATTGTGATTCTGCTTTGTTATGTTCCAACATAAATACATCATTTTTAAAAACTGATATATTCTTCACTGGCCCATGCATCAGCTGGAAATATAACCCCCTCTGTTTTCATTAGTTTGCATGACTAACTTGATCTCCTAAAGATGGACAGCATTTAGTAAAGCAATAGTTTGCACTGGCTAAGCTTCAATTACCTTGTTTGGAACAAAATGATTGAAACATGTAAAAGTAGTAGCTAATGACATAATTTACTAAAAAAGTGATTCTGCAAGATAAAAACTGTCTTCCAATAATCCAGTGCAGTCTCATAAATATGAAGTCTGGACCACCAAGCATCTGTCCTGCACACATTGCCCTCTAGTGGTGAGCATAGCTGTTGCTGGACTAAGATGATCATGATATTCTGGATGTGAAACCTCCTTATGTGCTGAGTAAACACGTTTTTGTTTGTGTGTTTCAGGAATAAATTACATTTTAAATGCAGGAAATAATTTTAGAGGATACAAATGTAAGCATTTTAATTAAGTATCAGCCTGACATGATCACTGATTTATTAATGGCAGGAGCTATTAATAATCCAGGTGTTTACTAGATAATATTTAATGCAACATAACAGCAAGTATTTATACAAGAGGTTTCCAGACATCAGGAAGCTATTTGTATCCATCATGCAAACTGTAGGATTTTGCACCATCTCCCTGGCTCATGATTTATGTCGTTTTGTTGTACCACGCTCTGATTTCCAGGATGTTATCAGCTATCAGATTATCCTGAGTTATGTTGATGTGTGCTTCTCCCTGAGAGTTGGTTTTGTTCCAAAGCTGATTTAGTTTTCTTTACGGAATCATTTCATGAAGCTGCGGTTTCCTTACATCTTTGCACGCTCTTTTCTGCAGCTGCATGGGCCCTTTTTTTATCAAATCAAGTTCCATAGGACCTGAATCAGATACCAGAGGTTCTGCTGCTGCTGCATGGCTGCAAATAACAACAAACTCTGAAATAAAGATATGAGGAGATGACACAAGCAGAACTCCAAAGCCCATAAATAATGCAGCATGCGTGGGCTTGTGAACTGGGCAGGAGAGGTCCAGAGCAGAAATGCGTGTTAAGTTATTCACCCCCTGAATGAAAAAAGGACGGAGGACGCTAACCCAAATGCGTTCCCTGAGCTCTGGGCCAACATGGATGGCAGAAGAAAGCGTTGGGAGGTCATCCATTTTTCATGAGATATGGAAGCAAAGCAAACATCTTTTTTTAAGTGGCAGGAAGCCAGTGGAGAATCTAAAACACTGAATATTTTTCAAGAACATCAACACATTTTCACAGCAATTTTCCTTTTCAACACATTTATCCTAGCTTCCACTGCTGATGAAAAGATAATAAGATTTTATCTTTTTTGCCAAAGTTTATTCAAAAGATCAGAGTTTTTTCAGTTTCAACTGTAAAATGAATTCCTGACTCAAAATGAAACACCAGGTTTACAGATCTTGTCTTGCACGTGTGTCATCATGTTCTCTTTGCTCGTTTGCTTTTCCTGGATAACGCTCTGCTTCCTATGGCTCCGTGTTTTGAAGTCCAATCCATCCTGGAGGCTTCACAGCACAAAACAACAAAAACAAGACACAATTTTCTCATATCTTGGGCAGTGATGTGGAGACCCTGATGAAATATCCTGTACCCATTAATCTTCCCTGGGGGGGACCACTGGGCCGACCACTGATTAAATGCTCCTAATAGAGGTCATTCATCTCTCCCCTGAATCTTTACGGCTCCAAGTTGCTCCACTGCTTCTTGAGCAAATATTGTGATTTTAATGAAGTCTTTTGATTTTTGTGAAATTGTCACAATTCATACATGCATGCCATTTTTTCATAATTCATTAATCTATCTCTCCTTACCAATAATGTAAATCCTACAAGAGCAATGCAGTAAAGTAAAGCAGATCCTAATTAAACCCTTAAGATATTTACATATAATAAAACATCACTTTGTGATGTGACCTCAGGGTCAGTGCATTAGCAATAATTCACAAGAACTTATACAATATATAAAAAACAAAATCTCCAGTTTTTTAAGAAGAAAACCCATTCATTTTGGGTTTATTTTTGAAAAATGACCTCATTGTAGGCGGCGAGCTTAAATGGGATGATGCTGATGCTGGAGGACAGAAGAAAAGGGGAGTGAAGAGGCCACCTGCTGAGATGTGATGAAGAAAAATCCTCAGGGACTCAAAATGAGATCATCCCCATCGTGTGGAGCAGCTAAACTGGAACAATAGTGACCTCTACTGACCACCTTGGGTCCTCCCTCTGCTTGGGCAGGAAGGAGCTTGTAGATCACTGTGATCTGGGAAAGAACAGAAACAAAAACAGGAAATAAAAAGTGTTGAAATTACAAACAGCCGAAAAATTTTATTCTATGCAATGTTTCTCTACTCTTATATCTTTGACCTTTAATCACGTTGACAAGAAGAGGGAGAGCAGGCCCCAGATCCCCAAGGCCCAGTGGTAATCAGCACAACCTGGCAGAAGGCGGGAGGTGGCAGGTACTCCCCGCTCACCAGCTAACGGAACGTGGCGGAAGGAAGGTGACTTTTTTTACAGATGACTGATGATGATGAGGGAACCAGTCTGACTTTTTCTCTCAAGTCTTTGGTGGAACTATCCTACACGGTGCATGAGTGTTCCCCGTGGATTTAAATATGTCCGAACAGAAGACACAATTGGCAAACGGCTAATGACCATTTGCATCGTGCATGTGTTTGATTTTCTTTGCCACTCTCGATATTGCTTGTAAAGTTTCTATTTTATTTAACTTTCCTCACATCACAGCTAAAATCATTCTCTTCATTGTGCTTTAAAAGCTCTGGAAGACTGTTCTTGTCTTTGTTCTGTCTTCGTCTGCTGATCCTGCTCACCCATCCTTGGTAAACTGGTCAGCGTACTCTTCTGAAGCGAGGCTCTGCAGGTCATGATGGGAACATCCCTGTGGTTCTCCTTGTTGCAGAATCTCACACCCTTTCTAAAGTAAACAGAAAAAGTCAATCATTTCTTTGCTGTATTTATTTCTGCTTCTTCATCCCACAAGTTCATTTGTCCAAGTGGCTGAGGGCGCCATCTGCTGTCAGCAGCTCAGGCCGACACGGCAAATAACCAATCGGGGTTTCTGCTCTCATCTTCTCCCTACTTTGGATCTCCTGATTAGTGAGCAGAGAGGAAATCCTTTGCAGAGTCACGGTGCTCTTGTAGATGTATGAGTGTGACAGGATGCAGCAATGAGGCCGAGACAGAGCTCAGAAGACACCTTTTCCTGCATCTCTGGTTGCTGCTCTTACAGGAAGTGTTATTAGTTAAAACCTCACAGAAAGCCGGTCACTCTAAACAAGGATGAGGAAAGCACATACGTAAGTATCATCATGGCTCTCTGTGTTTACTGCTTGCTCTGTTTCTGCCATCGTTTCCTTTGGGAACAGGCTGGAAGGGAGACGTCAAGGCAAGAATTTGTCCGGACTTATCAGTTTTCTGTTTTCTTGTCTGGGCCACTCAACCTCCCTAAATCCATAACCTATAAAAGCTTCAGAAGTCTGAAATCTGAGCTTCAGCACAATGTATGATTATTTCACCACATTTAACCATGATAACCTTCTCTTGGGAGGCTTCTTCTTCACTTCTGTCACAGCCAGTTTCACCATTTTAACCAGCTCCTCTGAGGTCACTGTGCTCTGATTCTGGAGGACAGTGGCCACCGTGCTGATTCAGCAAAACAGTCTGCAGAAATCACAACTTTATGTTACCCACAGTGCATTTTGTTATTTCCTGTTATTTCACCTTTCTGCTTCAGATGCAAGTCTGTGACATCAACCCGGCTCTTCATCCTAATCAAGAATGCACCTGCTTTGGAGAAGCGCATCTGCAAGCTTGACATTCTCAATGCTCTCTATGTCTTTTCCACTGGTAAACACCTGAGAGTCATGCGAGGATGCTTTTTTTTTTGTCAAGAGAGAGCGGATAATGGAATGCTGCTGCATGGAGAGCTGAGGAGCTGAAGCTCTGGAGCTCAGAAAAATCTCCACGGAGGCCTGGGGAAATTGGAATATTCCTTAAAGTACTTGTAAGAGGGAATACATTTCTTTTAAGATATGAAAACAAAGACTGAAGTAATATTACACCTGCAGCATGAATCTTTCTAATTGCAAAGTCTAAATACCTTAATACGTCCACAATCAAACATCCAGAAGGCTCTGATTTGTTTAGGAATGCTAAAAGGAATCGTGAAGACACCGCAAAAAAACCGGGGAGGGTCGTCTTTGCACTGCAGGAACTTTGCCACGTTCAGGATGAAGTACGTGTTCGTTAATGAGGAAGCAGAACAAGCATCTTGGTATTAAAGGGTAATGAAACAAGTGTTTGGGTGAATGCAACAGCCTGAATGAGGAACCAGCAATAGCTTTAGCAGCGCCTGCAGATTTGGAGAAGGACAGCATCGATCTTTGTAGCCTCCAGAAGTCCCAAAGCTCTCGGCTGTGTGTAACGTGCCAGAAGTGCACTGAGCTGCGTTCTGACCCACTGAACCAAGGTGAGCAGGTTCTATAATCTCTGGAGTGATGCGTGCACTGTAATGAAGGAGGCTTGGTGCAGAAACATCTACAGACCCTGGCAGCGGCTGAAGCCTTCAGGAATCCACATAATTTAAAGAATGCTGTGAATAAAGGGCAACATAATCGCTCCTGTCATACTTACACAAGCTGACCCACTCCTTTTCAGCTAGTTGTGATGTCCTCTGCAGCCAGCAGCTGAAACCAGATAGGGGTTCCTTCAAATCTGCAATAAACTTAGTGACAAAGTATTTTTTTTCAGGTGTTTGCAAATAAAATGTTTCACACCCTCAGCTGTTTGCTTCTCCAGCCAGCAGAAAAGGATTCTGGTGTTTTTGGCAGCCAACGCTTCAGACCACAGACTCTCCAGCATGCTGGGCGAGCCTCCAGTGGCTCATTCAGTCCACAACAATGAAAGAGACGGCGTGGTGGATCGTTGAGGAGGAATATTAGTATCAAAATCTTTATTCAAGCCACAGCTCGCATGTCTTAAATGACCTCATCTATAATCACATCAATGGTTGAGTGAGACCAGATTAAAGGATGAAGATTATTGTAATTATTTTAAAAATTTCTTTTGGTTTTTTTAGACTTACTCTGTGCTGTCTCTGTGGGTTAGAGGTCTGATGTGGCTCGGATCTGAGTTGGTCCGAGTTCCGGTGCCGTCTCAAGGATTTGCTGCTCAGTCCCATCACCTGCAGCTTCGTTCTCTCTTCATCTAAGCTACGTTCCTCCACGTTAATCCACTAATCTCACTCTCAGTTAACATTTCATTGGCTGATTTGCAGCACTGCTGTAAAGTACTGTGCAGAATATTTCCTCCTTCACTCTATTTTTCAACACAAAGCACATGGACTTTTAAAATCTTAGTTGAAGGATTTTTACTATATTGTAGTTTATTTGTTTGTATAATAATCACCACTGTTAACTGGTTACATTTCCTTTTGCTCTGTTTCAGAAATCGGCTTCAAATGACAGACCAGCCCATGGGAAAATCCATCCTTGTCAGCTGAACGTGCACCAGAGTCAATAGGAAGCAAATGAAAAGGAGTTAAATGCATTAAATGTTGTTATAATATAAATAAACTGGTTACTGAATTGTTTTTCACAACTCGTACTGCTTCGTTACGTTTACCATATTTTCAAAGCAAAGGAAATACAAAGGCTTATCCAATTAATCGATTAATTGCGCCAAGTTAATCGATTATTCACTGCAGCCCTAGTCAGAGTACTTTAGGGTCACAGCTTTTTTTCCCTTTTGAACATAGGGCTGTTTTTGTTCTGACAGCTGATTTCTCTTAAATATTCTTTAAGGCTCTTACACAAAGTGCATCCAGCTTTACTTTCTCAGTAACAATCAGATCTGCATAGGTGGCAGAAGGTGGGTCCAAATCCTCAGTGGGGCCCAGGGCTGATTAATGATTAAAAGGGATTAGAAGGAGGGTCAGGTCTTGGCTACTAGTCTCCGTCTGTAGCAGCTTTGTGTGTCGTCTGTGTCACGACGACCACTTGTCTCCCTCAGGACTAACTCTAAAGATGTTCCCATTAAGAAACCAGCATGAGGGAGCGCTGATGTCAGGGCTGGAACGCTGAGCACCTAAAGGTGAGGCAAAAAGGAGTCTAAGATTTATTGTTTTAGTTTTCCTGTCTTGTCCTAAACTTGGTTTTATTTATTCATTTTTAATAAATTCTTTTTATTAAATAATTTAATGATCCTTGTTTTGAAATGTTCTTTTTTTTTTTTTGCCACAGTCCCCTTCAACCATAATTCAGCACACCACACGATATCAACGATATCAGTCAATGTTGTCAGGCTAAGCTGCTTATGGAAGGACATTCAGGGAATTGTACTAGCAACCCCCCCTCCCCTTGCTCCCCCCCGATAACCTGTTTCATTCCAGAGCTCTGTCTGCATCCCACCTCTAATCCCACCCTGGATTTAAAGGAATCATGGCAGTTTTGAAAGTGACATTCACCAAAACCAAAAGGGACAAGCTGGCCCAGGTGCTGTGGATCCTCAACTGGATCTCCGTGGTTACGGGGGCCATCCTGTTCAGCCTGGGAATCTTCCTTAAGGTGGAGATCAACAAGCGAGGGGAGCTGATGGCTGGGAGGGACATCCAGTACGTTCCCAACATGCTCATAGCTGTGGGTCTCATTGCTTGTGCCATCAACTTTCTGGGTGGGAAGATCTGCTACGACTGTGTGGACTCTACCAAGTTCCTACGCTGGAAGCTGATCATGCTGCCTTACATCGTGTGCACCTTCTTCTTCACCTTCTGCGTGCTGGTGGGAGCTCTGATGTGCTACGGTATGCACTGGGAGCTGGAGGAGTCTCTGGACATGGGTCTGACGCAGGCCATGAGGTTCTATAAGGACACAGACACACCAGGACGCTGCTTCCTGAAGCATACTGTGGACATGCTGCAGATAGAGTTCCAGTGCTGTGGAAACAACGGCTACAAGGACTGGTTTCAGATCCAGTGGATAAGCAACCGTTACTTGGACATGTCCAAAAAGGAAGTGGTGGAGTAAGTAAAAAAAAAAAAGTATTCATGTTTTTGCAAATGTGTGCTGATCTTCTGTTTTTGGGTTTCATCATTTTATTTTATTTATTTATTAATTGCTGTCTGATCTCCAATTTAAACTCTATGCTGGAGTCGATGCTGCCATGAGTCTAAGTGTCATGATTGCAGGTGAGGAGATGATGAACCATGTGTGGAGAGGCAGCTCAGGAGGTAAAAGTGCAGGCTCGGATGAAGTAAAAATGGTTTTAATAATAGAGTGGGAACGGCAGGACAAAACACAACGCTGACAGCTAACACAAACAATGATCTGATAAAGACTGGCACAAGGAGGGAGGTATAAATACACAGGGAAATCAGGAACACATGGGCAGGTAAACAAGGGACAGGTGAAAACAATAAGGGCTAATCAGGGCAGGAGAGAGAACAGTCAGGAAGGCAGGGGCAGAATGTGACACTAAGAGCTTTGAAGACATTCATAAATTGTTCATTATTGTAGGAAGGTACAATATGCAGCTATGGGGTTCATTACAAGAAGCCAAATAGGCAGATACATCCCAGCAGCTAAATAAATGGTAAATGGTAGATGACTGTACTTATTAAAAGCAAAATGACAACCTGGCTGTAAAACTTAAGTTGAATGCCTTTAATCCTCCTACTGTCTTTATGGGTGACCCCGCGAGGAAAGTTGGCCATTGAGCAGGATTGGCAGGGGTGAGGTGGTGCTCACTCCTCACCCCTGCCACATGGACCCAAGGGATAAACCATCAATCCTGCTCAATGGTCAACTTTCTTCGTGGGGTCACACCCATTAGGACCAGAGGGAGGGTTAAGACTCGTTCACTCTGAATGTGGAACAGATGTGTAACGAACCCCAGGAGTTGGGCCTGTTGACAAGATTAAATGTTCCTGTAAAACGGGAAAAAGATGAGACAGAGACGACAGGTGCTGTTAATCTTTGCCTTGCTCCCGCCAAATTTTATTATTACAATTCCATATATCTTCAAGTTGCAAAACCATCATCCTTCACATGGTTAAACAAAACACTTAATATGTAGCATCCTTAAAATTAAAATCATACATGCATTCGGTTCCTCTCAGCACAGACATTTACAACCGTATGAAATGTATGTTTTAATACATTTTATCTGTGACTTTAATCCAGAATATATCTATTTATGATCTTAGTCCAACATATTTTTACTGTTTTCTTAACCAAAATATATTTATTCTGCTTCAGGTCTAAAATATTTATTCTGCTTTAAACAACAGTACCGGGCTAATTAGCTTATTAGCTCACAAAAAGCATCATGGAGGAATCACGTGTATTCTGGCAGGCTGAGCATAAACATTCTTCAAAAATCACTTTTCAGAACCGGCAGTAACCACACATTCTTTACTGCCAACGGCATCTTAACCTATTTATGAAACGTATCAGGAGACAACCGGAGATTATCTAGCTAAAACAGCACGAAATAAGTGTGGAATAAATGTAAAATAAAAATCAACATGGCGGCTGCAGCTGGCCCGACCTCGGCATTTTTTACAGTCTTTTACAGTTTACATTAAACCAATAACAGCGTTTACACCCTGGTTTATACTTCCACATTGAGCTGTGTTTCCCATCAATAGCTTACAACTGTTTTCATGTTGTTTTACTCAGTCACTAACCTGTAAAACAGGAAAAAGAAGAGACAGAGACGACAGGTGCTGTTAATCTTTGCCTTGCTCCCAGTGTTGGGCAAGTTACTTCAAAACTGTAATGCATTATTTATTTATTACTTGTTACCCTCATTTTAAAGTAATTCATTACATTACAATATTACTGATTTTAAAATGTAAGGCATTACACTACTTTTGCATTACTCTAAGTTACTTTCACCAACACAACTTCAGTATGAATCTGGTAATGTGACGCTCAGTGAGCTCATGACATATATGTGGAAGGTGATGTGGTGTCTGAGCTAGGATTGCTGTTAAAAACAGTCAGATATAATAACAGTGCTTTAAAATGATTGTTTATTAAATAAAAGCAACAACAATCTGTACTCTCAGCACGCTGCCATCTTATATTAACTGATCAGGGAGTGAGGTGGTGGGGGCTCCAAGCCTATATGTGCCTTGGTCCCCAAATGCCTTGATACGGCCCTGGATGTGGGACTGACTTCTGGGGTGATCTGATTCTATCACATGTATAAATATTAAATGCTTATATATTATTGCTTTTCACTGGTAAACATGTGTATTGGGGATAAATCTACCTAATTTTTTATTTTTTTCTTGATTTTGTTTGAATAATGTCCTGCCCTTTCTCTCTCTAACCTTCCTGCATGCTGCATGTTTTCTCCGTCTTCCAGAAAAACTGTAAACTAGATTTCCTACTTTCTAACTAATCAGCCAAAGGGATCTTCACATGAGCGACGCTCCAGCAGTAATGAGTTGAAATCACCGGGGCACAGATTATGAACTCAGCTGAGGCAAAGCACGTCAGAAAAGCACAAAATACCAGAGAATATGTGCTGATATGAACGATCGCAAGTGAATTATTTTGTTTTAGCGGAGCGATTTTGTGAATGTTACAGCGGCCGCGTGCAGGACGCTGCTGAGACGTTACCGCTGCGTCCTCTCTGCCCGCAAAGCTGAGTCCATAAATGATGTAATACATGCAGATACTGGATCTTTCTTCGGGTTTCCCGCAGTTTGAATTTTTAAGGAACACATCTTGATTCTGGGTTTAAAAATGCGTTGTAATTACCGCGTTACTGACAATTGTACCGAGTAAATATTACCATTTTCTTTCCCTGTAATGCCTTACATTACCACATTACAGCAAAAAGCAATGCATTACAGTAATTAATTACTTTTGTACCGCATTACTCCCAACATTGCTTGCTCCCGCCGAATTGGAGAAGGGGACCTCTAACCCTGCTACTCTGCCTCACCATTCAAGGCGCCATCATGTGGCCTGGTGTTGTAACTGCAACCAAAAGAAAGACATCAGCAGTGTCACTTTTCCTCATTTCAACCATTATAGTTTCTAATGGGACTACACATTAGTGTGTCACAGATGCGGTCCGGTTTCTGTACAGACAGCCAACAGAGTTGGCTACTGTTTTCATGAACAAGTCTTTCAACTCTGCGTTTTTCATTTCTCCTGCATTAGCTTCTAATAGAAAATAAACAGTGAAACTCTAGGATTTGAAAAACCTGACAGATCTATGTCACACTGTCTCTTAACGTTCATGGACTCACCCAACGTGACCCACGACGGGGAAGGCTGTTGTTGGTTTAACGTACAGGAATCAGCAGAGAATGTCTTGACTTGTAGAAGCTAACCGTTAGCAATAGCAACTCCACCACATGACAAAACTCCTTCAGGCTTGTGTGATTTGTGGAGATAAAAGCAAACAGAGTCAGTGGCAGAGTCCCGTTGCTGTTGGCCAATCAGAGGCGAGACATCCAAATATCAGGAACTACAACTCCAGCAGGGTTTCTCAATGTCAAGGCACCTGGCCTTGTGAGGCGATGTCTTACGAGACCAGGCGCCTTGCTTACGAGGACACTGTCCTTCCTTGGTCAAAGAAAACGGTTAAATGGAGCAGACTTGCATCACGTGACCACGGCCTCCACGGTGGTCACGTGATGTCACGTGACACGGGAGATAATAATAAAATATTTAAGTGAGTTACTACCCGCTAGCCGCTGAAACTGCAACTAATAAGCAACTAACCAACCATAGATAACTTCGTTGGATCTAAAAAAAACATTTTTAATTAGTTGCCTCTTTTAAACTTGAAATTTGACCCCGAAGTAACTGCCGGCTTCTGATCCACCATCCTTTTGATAGATCTGCATCCGTATTCTGGGTAATTTTTGACCAAGGCTAGGCTACAAGCTAGAGGTGTGAATCTTCACTTGTCTCCCGATTCGATTCAATTACGATTATTGGGTCAACGATTCAATTCGATTAGATATCCCGATGCATCACGATACATCACGACTATGTCATATGTATTGGTTTTCATCGATAAATATAAGATGTCAGATAATTGCTTTTTATTTTTATTTTATTTGATCAAAAACGTAATTGGCACAACCTGCCATCCCTCAAAAGCTCTCAATTCACAAAAGGTTAGGACAAAACATTTTAAACATTTAAGATTTAACAAAGTAAAACAATCTGTTTCCTCATTCAACACCACGCCTCAGGCTGAGAAAAACACGCTTTGCAAAAACTCACAAAATCTAAAAACGTACTAAAAACCTACAGGAATAACGTCATAATAATATACATAATGGGTTCATATATGAGTGTTTAACGTCATAATAATATACATAATGGGTTCATATATGAGTGTTTAACGTCATAATAATATACATAATGGGTTCATATATGAGACTTTAATGTCTCTGAGCAGCTTTAGAGTCCAATATTTATTCCACAGTTCAAGGGTGTCAGAAATAACACCAAATGAAATGTTTAACTTAGTTTGTTATTTTATTTGAACCCAGTGGTTCATTTCTGAAATGTTGGAGAATGAATCAAGTTCTGTTTGATGCAGAAAATAATAAAACATAAAACAAATTCTACACTTCCAATAATATTTAAGATGTGTGTTTTATTCTTGCTGACAATAACACCAGCAGGAGGCTGTGGGCTGGATTAGGATTAAATTACCCAGCAGATGGATCTCTTTCACTAACCAGCTAACTACAAACCTTTCCACTAACCTGTCCTGTGTAACCCTCACCATGTAACCCTCATGTCCATGCTGTCTCTGGAGGAGCAGACAGGAAACGAGATCTCCTGTAACCTAAAATGAACCAAAGCTTCCTCCCAGCTTCTCTTTAAGCCGAATTTAACATCAGTTTACCATCATGAAACAAAAGAATAAAGTGGAACAAAAACTTCTATCTTCTATTTCTCTCTCCTTTTAACTTCTCCGTGTCCCTAAATAAAAGAGACAGATGATTACGCTGCATCCACCGTCACTGACCCTGCCCCCTCCCCAAGACCGGATCTCCTGGCATCACAACACTCGGTCTGACTGAGCGCTTCCAGGAGAAATAATAATTAAATTATGAAAAGATGGAAAATTATGGCCTACGAGGAATAGCGAAGTCCTGGATAGAGAGTTACTTACAAGACAGACAACAGTATGTACAAATTAAAGATATAAAATCTGGATTTAGAGAAATAAGTTGTGGAGTTCCACAAGGTTCAGTAATAGGTCCTATATTATTTACTTTATATATAAATGACATATGTAACGTGGCAGATTTTTTCAAATTTATAATGTTTGCAGATGATACAACTTTAGTTTGTTCAGGTAAAGATATAAAAGAACTTTTAAAGAAGGCCGAAAAAGAGTTAAATATCCTCAAATCTTGGTTTGATGTAAATAAACTATCACTGAATATAAAAAAGACTAAATTTATGATTTTTGGAAATAAGAAGGTAAAAAATGGGGACTTTAAATTAACAATTTCAGATACTGAAATTGAAAGAGTGTCTGAAATAAAATTTCTTGGTGTTGTGATTGACTCTAACTTATCCTGGAAGCATCATTTAAATTACATAAAAGGAAAAATTGCCAAATCTTTGGGTCTATTATATAAACTGAAGGACATACTAAACCATAAGGCCTTACGTCTAATATACTGTTCACTAATACAACCATACATGGCATATTGTATAGAAATATGGGGTTCAACTTTTAAAACATATATACATTAAATAAAAACTATACAAAAGAAATCTATTCGAGTTATGAACAAGAGCAATTATTATGCTCATACTGACCCGTTGTTTTTAAAATCACAGATTATGAAATTAGAAGATCTATATTATTATAAAATAATGCAATTTATGTTTAGAGTAAAATTAACAGCTCTGCCAAAAAATATACTAATGTTCTTTGTAAAGAGGGAAAGTAAATATGATTTAAGAGGTGTATGTATGTTTGTTCTACAAAAAGCCAAAAAGGGCATGAAAAGGAGATGTATCTCTGTAATGGGAGTAAAATTTTGGAATGAGGCTAAAATAGAATTAAAATTAGCAACTTCTCTTTCAGTTCTTAAAAAACGTATCAGTAAAAACATTTTTGAAGAGTATTAATTTGATGTTGATGGATGGATTTGTGTTTTACTTTTATTTGGGTTGTTGGTTCATTGCGGGAAATTAAAAAAATGTTTTGTAAGTAGGTTAGGCAATTATATAAGCTATTGCTTCTGCCTAAACCTATTCAGTCATGATATACCAAATAGACACCATATAAAAAACAAGGCATATGTTAGTGAGAAATGGTATTTGTATCTAATTGTATGACATGTTAATGTACATTATCTTAAGATAACTGACTGAAAAAATTTATCATTCATTCATTCAAAATAATAATGCGTGTTTGGAGGAGCATCCTCCGATCCTCTCTCTTGTGTGAGCAGACAATCTCTCTCTCTCTCTCTCTCTCTCTCTCTCTCTCTCTCTCTCTCTCTCTCTCTCTCTCTCTCTCTCTCTCTCTCTCTCTCTCTCTCTCTCTCTCTCTCTCTCTCTCTCTCTCTCTCTCTCTCTCTCTCTCTCTCTCTCTCTCTCTCTCTCTCTCTCTCTCTCTCTCTCTCTCTGTTGCTGTGCGAGTGAGTGGAGCGTGCCGCATGACAACCCGGTCATTTAACTTAATTCACGGCCCAAATCCAACAGAACCGGTCAGGCTGATTCGGTTCCGGTTCGGTCTCAGGTTACAACTCTAGCGCTCAGCCCTGCAGTACCACATTAAGGCGGAACCACTTGGTAAATGTGGAGAACGCTCACTCTGACAGATTTGGATGCTACGCTGGTGCTGTCTTTAAAAAAACAAAACATTCCACTATAATCGATTATGGCGTACTCTCTACGATGCAGAATCGTTTATGTCCGCATCCCAATGCATCGATTATTTGATTATTTTCCTCAGCTCTACTACAAGCCACCTCCCGTGTATCCTTGCTCAGCTAGCTGTACGGTTAACGAACGGAGAACACACGCCTCGGTAGAACGTGAACATTGGAACACGTCTTGGCATCTCCTGATGACGTACCTCCTCGGCAACCGGGGCGGGGCCAAGACATCAAGGCGAGGTTCCTTGGCACTGAGAAACACCTCAAATCCTGCCGTCTGTTGCCACTTTCTCCTCCAGCTGATTTCTAGTTCCTGAAACAGACACGCTGGAGCTTTGTTTCCCCAGAGTCAAGGCATTCTTTCCTACCAGCTCAGTGGCCTAGTGGTATGAGTGTCCACCCAGGGACCGGGAGATTCAGGTTCAAATCCTTACTGGTTCATACCAAAGACTTTAAAATGGGACTTAATGCCTCCCTGCTTGACTCAGCTTTAAGTTGTTGGATTCGGGGATTAATTCACCATGCCTGCAGCTCACCTCTCCTCATGGACATGGCTCAAATGCAGAGTATGACTTTAACTACACATCAGTGTGTGTGAAAACTGATTTCACACATTTAATCTTTAGAGACCACTGCAAATGTATTAAAAATATGAATAAGGTTGAGCTTTAAAACTTATATGTTACAAACAGCAAACCGTAGGAATAATGATGGTAAAACAATGTGTTTTAGCTAAAACGTGCACGTCCATGAATGAGAGGTGCTGCTTTCAGCCATAAATTCAGAAGTGGTGAAAATAGCTAAAGGTGTGACATAAGTGTCCGCCTAGATGGTGGCATCAGATAAAAAAAACTCAGAGTTGTAGCTTTAAATTAGTTAAATTATCATCCGAAAAGGAGTGGGCGTTTTGTTCGTATCGTCTGTCTGATGTAACATTTTTTTTACCAACCTGAAATGTTTAAATGTGACACAAAATTAAAATCTGCACAAATTGCAGGTTCTCTGAAATAGCAACACATCTCCTCTCATACGTTTGCTACATGCCCATCCAAAGCCAACGCTTGTAATTGATTCATTTGTTTTGAAGATTATTAGAGGTTCCAGTCAGCATGTCAATGCGACAAACTCATCAAGTCATGGTGAAACTGATCTATTTTTCTGTTTGCTTTTTCAGCCGACTGAGGAGTAACGTGGAGGGAAAGTACCTGACGGATGGCGTTCCCTACAGCTGCTGCAACATCAACTCTCCCCGGCCCTGCATCCAGCAGCAGATCACCAACAACTCTGCTCATTTCAACTACGAACACCAGACGGAGGAGCTGAACCTGTGGATGAAAGGCTGCCGCCAGGCTCTGCTGGAGAGCTTCACCCACATCATGAGGTCCATTGGCTTCACAGTCCTCATCACCTGGCTGTTTGAGGTGAGGAAACTCAAGCTAGGAACAAGTGAGACGAACAGGGATTTTTGTATCTATTACGGATGTCCTTGTCTTCCAGTTGTCAGTGCTGACAGGCGTCCGTTACCTCCAGACCTCCCTGGAAAATGTGCTAAGACAAGGAGACCCCAACTCTGACTCTTGCGGCTGGCTGCTGGAAAACAGCCTGATGGAAACTGCTCGGACCAACATGAGCATCATTAAGAGCCTCGGCAAGAGCAACCAAATCAACACGGGCGACAATGGAGACCCTAACATTGATATCCCGTCCACATCCAAGGCGCACTACGGGCCAGAAGCCAGCTGAACCCTATCAGAAAATAAACGACCATGTTTTTATGTTATTGTCCCTCGTGTTTCTCCAAGCTTTTCAGCCCATAAAAACCACAAGTTTCATCGCAAGTCTTACGCTCGAAAAATTCAGTTTAGCTACAGAGACTAAAGCTGTCAAATAAAGGCTGTAAAATATCTTTGCATCTGTGGTCACCAAGTAGGAAGTTTACTGTTCTGATTTCAAAAAGCCAAGTTGCCAATGACACTTGACCCACCTGGCCTGCTGGTAGTGTGTGTGTGTAAGTGAGTGAGTGAGTGAGTGAGTGAGTCCGGATGTGTTATGAAACATCTTGGAGGGGTTGTAGGTGCTGTACAATTAACTTTTTTAACTGAACTTTTGAAAAAGAAAAAATTTCATTTTAAATCAACGTTCCTACAAGAGCAGCAAACCTTGGGACACAAACTGTGGCTTTTATCTGCATAACTCGTCAGAAACTTTAAATTTGAGTAAGTTAAAGTAGAAGAGAATATCATCCAACAAACTGCAGGTTTTTTTATGAGAACGTCTCCAAATGATGCCTGGTTGACATAATTCATTCATTTTGGTTGTAATCATCACAAATATACTTAATCTAGTAGTGATGCTGTACTGTAATCTATTGTTTCATTGCCTCCGTCTCATTTAGTCATGTTGAGAGGTGGAGGAGTAGGACCAGCTGTGCAGAAACCCAGTACGACAAGGAGCAGGAGAGGATGTGAAATGAAACATCTTTATTAAGATGATTAGTCCAACGAGAAAACAAAAATGTGGTACGAAGCCAAAAAAAACAGGGGGGGGGGGTCAAAACAACACTGACGCGAAACAATGACACTGAGACGCAGACAGGGTTAAATACAATGGGGCAGGATGAGTGGGGAGAGAAACCTAGTGAAATCAATTAAGTAATCAGTGAGGGGAAGGTGAGCTGAGGAGGGGAAAATAACATGACCTAAGTGTAAAAACAAAACCTAAAGACAAGAAGATTACGATAAACAACTAATGATCTGAGGAGAACTAAAAAAAACGGTGGAGAAAGAAACACACTAAAAGAGACTAATTAAATGAAAAGCTGAACCTATAGAAAGACTACAGAGGGGTGACTAGGGGGAGACCAACAGGAGCACAGGACCTGGGGGGGGGGGGGGGGGATACCTGGGGGGGAGAACCTGGAGGGGCTGCAGACAAGGGGACACATGAGGAACACAAGGAGACACATGAGGGAGACGCAGACGCAGACCATGACACTAGAGCCCTGCACTGAAGCCCTAGGCCCTCGGGTCAGCCCGGCCCGACGGCCGGGCTGGACACGGGCTCAGGTTTTAGGCCCGTGCAGGGCTCTACATGACACATTTGACACCAAGCAGTCATTAACAACTAGACAAGTGTGGATCATTCATCACTTATGCCACGATCGGATCAAGATAAGTCTGACGAGAAACATCCTTTCAGAGTCAAGCTGGTAGATTTTGGCCGTTCATGTGAAACTAAATCTTTACCACAGGGTAACACATACCTTCAGATAATACCTTATCGAGCACTAGAGGTAATGCTCGGTTTGCCGTGTGACGAAGGTATCGACATGTGGAGCCTTGGAATTATCTTGTTTCAGATGTTTCTGGCTTCAAAGAAAATCTCACAAGGAAGTGAAGAGGATTACATGAGATCGATCGTCCGGCTCTTTGGGCAGCCCTCAAAAAACGTACTAGACAAGGCGCCTCCTGGTGTCAGGGTTTATTTTACAAGCGAATTGGGGTTTAGGGGACTTCAGTAGTGGAAAATTAAGGAATTTATTCCTGAAGAGAATAAAGAATCCCCGGATGACCAATAATATCTTAATAAAACAATTTCACTGAAGGGAAAGATATTAAACATTTTCAAGACCTTTTGAAGAAAATCTTAAACACGGATCCAGCAAAGCGTATTTCACCTGTTGATGCACTAAAGCATCCGTTTATCACGCTGAATCACCTTGATAAAATCTCAGATAGAGTTTATCTGGCAGAAGCAAAAAGAATATTGTCAGAGACCAGAGGCCGTCTTTTAAATGTCTACTAGTACTCACAACCCAACTGTTAGCTTGTTCACACAGACAGACACAGACAGACAGAAACATTAATAGTAACATTAATAGTACAAATAGCATTTCCCTCTCATTTCACGGGGGGAACGATGTCTGATGGAGTCATAAAAGCCGTCAAATAGTGTTTCCCCTTCACACACTGCAGCTTGAATCCAAACCAAACATTGAGGTGGAGGTTGCCATCATCTACCTGCAGCGCCGGATGTTGACTTACCTCGACAAGCAAAAGAGCACTGACAGACATGTGAGGATAAACATGACAATCGAAGGCAATTGTAAAACTGTTTAAATTTCTCAAAAAATGCTGGGGAAAGGTTCATTTGAAGAGGTTGTCAGATGCCAAATACAAGGGACAGAAACTGTTGTAGCGTTAAAATTAAGGAAGAAAATCAAGAGGTTTCAGAGGAAGCTGAAATGTTAACACGTTTGAGGAGAGAAGATGACAATGTTGTAAGAATTAATGAAAGTTTTCACTGTCAAAATAATTTTCTACATCAGCATAGAACTTCTAGATCAAAATATAAAAGAAATTATTAGAAAAGCTGCAGTTCCTATTAAGCTGTCTGAAATCAGAAATATGGCAGCGCAGTTACTGTCAGCACTGAGAGCTTTAAGAGTTTGGAATTACTCATGCAGACCTGAAGCCAGATAATAAAATGCTCGTGAATCACGAGAAGCATCTAGCTGACAGATTCTGGCCGTTCATGTGAAACGGATTCTTTACCCTAACCCCAGATGCATCTTGTTAATCAAAATGTTTCCACCACCCAAACGTTGTAGCTCTTTTATTTCAGAACTTTTAAAATATAAAAATATTTAAAGCAACATACCCACAACAAAAGTCACATTTAGATCTTATTTTATCCCAAGGATTATCCATCAATATGCCTGATGATAGATATTAGCCTTTCAGATTATTTAATCTAGAATCAAGGATTAGTTTTAGAATCTCTTAGAATAAGGATGAAATCAAAACAGGCTCTGATATTTATAGGTTTTATTTACTGTGTCTGTCTACACATGAGAAAGGTCGACAGCAGCTTACAGGTCTATAACTTACAGCATCTACACAAATAAGAGGCGAAAGCAAAAGAAGAGAGTTTCCATCATGCTTAGACCCTCCCCTCCTTTAAAACGTCAAACCTGAATAAATGCATCAAATCATACAATACAGAAAACTCCCTGCATTACTGAGGAAATTAAATCCATGAACTAAAAATTGAAAGAGATTGTTTGATGCTTTCACTTTTTCAATGAGAAACTCTGCAAAAAAAAAAAAAAACACTCGTCCTGACTGCAGGCGATCAAACTGGAACAAGGCGACTGCAGTCCACCGTCCATGATGTTCCACCTCTCTGGAAGCGGGCCTCTTTGGACTGCAGGAGGCTTTAATTATGTGAAACGTGTGGGCATTGGGAGTACTGGTCTGGGAACGGAAGCGTGTTCTGCGGATGTGATCAAAACCTGGTCACCGCTGCTGGAGCCGTCACACCAGCTGCCATTCAAAGGCAAACATAACATTGACCACCTCCTGGATGCGGGCAATTTCCTCTAGGATGCAGTGCTGCTGCCACAGTTGGTTCAGCTTCCTGTAGCGATCTGGACAAAGGTGCAACGGATTGCCTCTTCTGTAAAATAAAATGAATAAATCAGAACGCGAACAGAGCTAGTTTAAATTAGGTAGCTGGTGTGAATCGATAAACAAAGGTCACATAGAGTTCATGTTGGCATGGGCCCGGGCTGCTTTATACTACGGTGATGACAAGAACAGGTGGCTCTCATTGGCTCGGTTAGTGTGCCGCAGGACAGCTGTGGCTATGTAGTTTAGTAAAATGGCCTCTACTGTCCTAGAACCCCCCAAGGCACCTTACAACACAACATTCAGTAGGTACTGGTAACAAAAATACATTTTCCGAATTGCATTTCACCCTGCTGGAGTCCGTGAATTTTCAGAAATAGAATAAAAGCAACAACAAAAATTATTTTAAGGACAGGAGGAATTCTTACCCCAGATGATGATCAGTTTCCCCGTAATCATCTAAGTATGGAGCTGCGTACATGCTGCCTCGAGTCTTACTCGCCATCAGGACGATTTCACACTCTCTTATCCTGGTAACATTAAACCAAACGTCACTCAAACACACCAGACACTTACTCGTCATTCGTTATGATTGTAGGAGTTAAAGTGATCCAACTGGTTTCTAATCCGCAGAGCGTTTGATCTCACCTGAGGAACAAGCCGACTCCGGCCCCACAGGTGGCCGTGTGAGCCGTGCAGGCGCCCACATCCTCCCCCTCCAGCTGGCTGAGGCAGCAGGAGCTCTGTGAGCACAGCATTTCTCCACAAACCAGGCAAAGTGTCGGGTGCTTCCTCTCGTCATCTGTGGACTTTGGACACCTAAAAACAGAAAAGTCCGAACGGCGGTAGTACCAAAAATAACTTCCGCAGTTCAGTGAACAAAATAACTTTGAGGCTTACTGAAAATGGCAGGCTTTATTGAGGAGAACACTGTAATCCTCAGGAAGATCAATCAAGCGATTCCTTCTCCTTGGATATCTGTGGAAAGAATCAGACCAACTTTTAGAGGAGACTCATTCCAGATCAGAATAAATACAGAAACATGGAAGAGTTTTGCATTAACCTGATCATCTGCCCTTTGCCTTGCAGAGCTTTGATTATAGCCGGACTTCGACACCACCTAAACAAGCCAGAGCACTTGGTTACAAAACTGCAGACCTATGTCATTAATTAGAAGATTATTTAGTTTTTACCTGTGAAGCAGAGGTGAAACGGAGTCTCTGTAGTCCTGGAAGAGCTGGAACACGTTTACAGGAAGGGCCAAGTAGCTATAGAGCGTCTCCATCTGTCCCTGAGACATTACTGAGACATAAAAAACATCAGCCTGGTTACAAAGAGCTCTCCAGACTGTATTTAAAATCAAGTTTGCATTTGACTAACCAGGAGTGTTGAAAAGCTCCTCTGAAGGATTGACTCCTGTAAGGCAGTTGAAAAAAAGAGCAGCGCAGCGCAGAAAAGGCTCAATTCCCATTTTAACTCTTTGTGCAACAGCGCTGCCGGACAAATCTGGAACGGACCTGAAGAGCAAACAACAGTAAAACGCTGTCAGAAATGGTATGGTTCATCAAAGAGAAAAAGAAAGTAAACCCTCTGCCTGTTTTGTTTAGTTTCTTCTTTATTTTTCTGTATTTATAAAACTCCTGCAGAAGCCCAAAAGCAAGAGAGCATCTTTTAAAGTGCATATTCACAAACAAGAGGGTTCTGGTGGAGCAATAGAGGTCATGAAGTGAAGCTATTTCAACAACAAAACATTTTTTTTTTAAAGAATCAAGTCAGAAAGTGTGTTCGGAACATATAACTAGTAAGAAAAGCACCTTCCAGTGTGTTGTGATACGGCTGTGTACAACTCTGCTGCTGCTCTGGCCTCCTGTGTCTCCTCCCCATCTCCCACAGCAGGAAAATCTGCGAAGAAATTAAAAACAAAAGCCAAGTTTTGACTTTCACATTTGCTTTAGCCAATAGTTAAATCAAACAGGGAGGCAGGAGATTTGTTTACCTGTAGATGTCAGGAGAACCTGCACAATGTGGGCCATGGTGACCAGGTGAAAGATGTACAGGTTGTTGAAGGCGGAGCTTATGGAGGACGGCTGTAGGTCGACTCCTTCTTCCTGATACAGTGAGGGTATGGACAGCACCAGTCCCACCTGACAAGAAAGGCACTAAAATGTTTGTATTTGTCTTATTTAGGATTGTTTTTAATGTTTTTATGGTGAGATTTAATTAAACTAAATAATAAGGTAAATTTAGAAGGAAACAAATGAAGCAGGAGCTGGTTTCTTAAAGAGAGACCTACCAGGAGATGGAAGAAGTCCACTTCCAGGACAGAAGGTGTGTTTTTTCTGCTCATGGTTGGAAGCAAAACTTAGAAGAGAAGTTAAGAGCTTTTTAAAGCAGGTACAACTACAGCTAAATACAACCAATAACCTCTGGAGAGGTATCTTGTACGATGCATTTGGAAAGCATTTCTTTCATGGACCACATACCCCCCATCAAATCTGCAAAGTGCCTCTGGATAACTGCCTGGGCGCTCCGAAGTCTCTGTGATGCTGCAAACTGCACAATCGCCTTCAGACCTGCAGTCTGGAAAAGAAAAACAGAAGAAAACTCCAAACTTACCTCCCAAACAAGACATTATTTGAACATTTCCTACTTTCAGGTACGTTTTCTCCAACCTGTCTGTTTTGTAAGGATCCAAACAAAGGTTTGTCCTCTTCCTGTAAAATGTTTTCTGTGCAGACAAACACATCTGTTTTAATAAATGCACACATGAACTGCAGGTAACACTTTAGTTTAGGGAACACAAATTAAACATTAGTTAAATGCCAATTAATGTGCATATTAGTGGACTACTAAGTCTGAATTAGTCATTATTAAGCTATTGTTAGGTGCTTATTACCAGTGCTGTAATTCTAACATTAACAGGCCGTAAATTAAGTTTTATCAAAATAAGCCATTCATAATGGTTTGCTAACTGAAAGTAAACGGTTTGCTGCTGATTAACGCACTGTTGGGTATTTTTATAATTGTACCTTTTTGAGGCCTAAAATATGCCCAATTTGTGTTATTAACACTTCATGAATCTCTGTGTTTGCAAACTGTGGCTGTTCATGAAAGGTTGAGCAGAGAAGCTCGTTTGCAGTCAAGGATGTTGATTCCAACCAAACCTCTGTACCTCTGTAACCTGAGAACAGGGTATCTGCGGGTTTAAGGGAGGCAAATTTAAGACTTTTTAAGACCTTTTTAAGGCCATTTTGACCAAATTTAAGCAATTTTTTAAAATTAAATTTAAGCTATAACTTCCAGCTATTGCCTGGAACCGGTGCTAACCACGTCGCCGCCAACGTGGGATTAGCCATCCAGTTACCAATAAACTTGCACTTCCCCATGGTGCAAGCTCCCGCTAGCTTAACCAGCTAATGTGCTCATCTAAAAATATCCCCCTTTCACAACCAACTGAATGTGTACGGTTCTGCTTACGCCAACATCATACACAAAAAATGCTGAACACTAACTAGAAATTCATGAAAATTTGATAGAAATAAAAGAATGTTGTTTATTGGGTCTTTGCACATTTAAGACCTTTGGAAACTGGATTTAAGGATTATTTGTCATTTTTAAGGATTTTTAATTTGGAAAAGCTAATTTAGGACTTTTTAAGACTTTTTAAGGACCCGCGGATACCCTGTGAGAAGGCCCCGCCTTCTCCATCCTTTGCTAAATAAAACCCCTGGCTAACTGAGAATACGGGGAGTGATGTGGGAAAAGCCTCGGAGGAGGTTTTCCCCTGCGTTAACTCTCCATTATTTTGGGGACTCAGGGTAAAATGCCATCCTTGTTGTCATGAGTGTTTATTTTAGGTTCCAGGGTTATGGAGATGAAATATTACCTAACATTTAATTACCTAACACGCACACACTAATTAGCTCAAATCAATATGTGGCTTTTAAAGAAGTAATTCAGGGGGAATAGTTATTCTGCAATAATAACCAAAAATATTAGGTTCTGGTATTATCTAAATAAACACCAAACTCCACCTGTTAATAGCGCCTAAACAACAACCCATTAACCACTTGTAAGCAAGAATATGTTCCCCATTCTAAAGTCAGATTTTGTTCATACCTAATTACTAGTAGTTGAGTATTAATTAACCATTTAAAGGCAAGAATATCTTACCCCTGAATTACTTCTTTAAAAGCCACATATAGATTTGAGTTACTTAGTGTGTTACTAAGCAACAAACCGTTTACTTTCAGTTAACAAACCATTATGAATGGCTTATTTTTGATAAAACTCTTAATTTACGGCCTGTTAATTTTTGAATTACGGCATTAGTAATAAGCTGTTAATAAGCGCTTACTAATGACTAGTTCAGACTTAGTAGTCCACTAATATGCATATTAATTGGCAGCAAATAATGGTTCCTTTGTGTTCCCTAGAGTGTTACCGAAACGCAGAATGCACGAAGTAACAGGACTCTACCTATAGCCTGAATAGTGAAAGCACATGTGTTCCAGGCCATGAGGGGCACGCGTGGGCAGAGCTCATTGGGGGGCGTCTTTAATCCCACTCTGTGGACCGTGGTGGCACACACAACCAGCATCTCTGCAATGCTGTCTGAGAACTTCCTCCTGAGAACCAAACAAAGTATTCAGAAGGGTTCTTGATTTTTAGTGAAGATACTGATGAAGTCACTCACGGTTCTTGTACGCCGTAGGACAGAATGGATCTAAAGTCTGCCTGGGTATCACTACACAGCCCAGGAGTCCCGCTGCTGCCATCAGGGTTGAAGTCTTTAAAAAAAACAACAAACATCAAATATTTGGTTTTAAGTCTAAATCCACGTGTCATTTAGATGCTCTGTGATTTTCTCACCATTGTCCTGCATAACCGACTTGAGGCCTTTAATCCTGGCGGTGAGGACCTGGATCCATTGAGGCAACGACAAATTCTGCCCAATTATCTCTGCATTTTCACTGTCAGGAGAACAGAAAAAATAACGTAATCATGTTTGTAAAAACAACTAAAGTTGCAAACTGACGGAGATGCAAGGAAAAGGCGTACTAGTTAAACGTGAGAGGTTCTAGCGGGATGAGAGGGATCACGGTGTTGCATAGAGACTTGCACAGAGGACAAAGGTACTCTCCGTTCTCCAGATCAACAATCAGCTCGGCGTGGAGACGGTTCCTTGTGGTACTCTGAACAGCCTCAAAATATCTGAGAAAGACGATGGTGCTGTAATAGGTCATGTGCATCTAAAAGGTTGAGTGAAATCAACAGCAGTCCTCCTCTTACTCACTTCTGCCAACACGTAGCATGCATGACGTGTCCACAGGTCCCAGTGTGGGTCCCCACGGCCAGATCAGGAGGCATGAAGAGAGGATATGTCCCTGAGCCTTTCCAGTGACAAACACAACAAACATGTTCACAGATGTCCACATACAGCTGGGACTCTTCCAAGTTAGATCCTAGGACTAGCTACAGGACACTGACCATCCATCCTGCTTGGTGGGATCTTTCCTCTACACTGTGTCAGAACTGTGGACCTTTGGACACATGCAGTCAGCACCATGGCTGGAGCCTGAGGCAGCACCTCCTGCTCCTCTTGACAGAGAATACAGGTGAGCACCTCCCTTTCAGCTGGAGTGGGTCCTCTTTGAGGTCCAATAGCTATGCAAAGCTCCCTCTGCTCCATGGTGCAACTGAAAAAACAAACATAACCAGATTTAGAATGAATATGGCTAATGCGATGTACTCTGGAGGTTCTGCTTACTGCTCAGTGGATGCAACAGGTTCTCCTTGGTTCCCGCTCTCAGGCATGTTGTCGTACAGCATCTTGTTCGACTCAATGAAGTTCTTCTGCATCGCCGACATCTGGGCCATAATCTTCTGTCGGTGGAGCTTCGCAGCCTCCGCTTTCCTCTTCCTCTCAGCTTTCTCTTTGTCCTGAGCACTCTGGGTTTAAAAGAGAAGCAGGAAAATCAGTCAGAGTCACCCCATCCAAACCTCAACCCCGCTTTTATTTGTTTTCCGTTTACTTCTTCTGGTTTGGTTGTCTCCATGCTCACTGACACTGTGGGACTGGACTTCTCTCTAAGGCACTTGATGATCTCAAACATCTGCAGGAAACAAACCCATCAGACGTGAAAACGATGAAGAGGCACTTTAAGCGACTCGCTCCAGCCCACCTGAAGAAGCCACACGACCATGTCTTTCTGAGCTTCCAGTGAAAGTAAAGTCTTGATCTTGGACAACAACAGGAACACCGACTTGCCATGTTCTGAACCGAGAACTACAAGAACAAGCACGTGTCGCAAATTTACAGCAACCTAACAGGAAAGTCACAAACGGACTGCGTTGTCACTCACTCCGCGCTTTAAGACTGAAATCAAAGGTCACTTCCTCCACAGTGATGCTTTCCAGCTGTGTCTTCTCTTCCAGGAGTGCTTGGCCAATCAGGTGAAGGGCCTGCATGCAAAAATGGAATGGTTTCAATTCACAGCTGATAAAAGGAAAATAAATAAATAAATAAAAATTAAACATGAGTGCATTACCTACCCTTTGGATCATGGCTTCGGTCCAGTGTGTTGGCAGGTCTTCAGCAGCTCTCTGCAGGATGTGTCTCAGAACGAAAACAAAAACATCACAGCAAAGCAGCTGCACTACGTTGGAGAACCTTGGACAAAAGGCTCGTGGCATCGGAGGACGAAGAGCTGAGCAGAGACGCACCGTTAGCCCAGAGAGGTCAATATCAACTAGTTATCAGAAGTGGAGCTAGTCAGTCACCTTTATCGTTGCCCTCCTGAGCCCTCCTCTTCTTCTGAGACTCTTCTGCCTGAGATCATGATGAAAATAATAATCATTTACCCTAAAGCCACTCTGGAGCCGGTCCGCTCAGACCGAGACGCCGCCCTTACCTTGCTGTGCTGAGATCTCGAGTAATGGTAGAAGAAAGGATTAAACTCAGCGAGACAATCTTTTTTTACTTCGTACAACCCATGTCCCGACACGCCCGGCTTTCTAAACGTCAAAACAGAAAATGCTGATTAAACTTTGATGCAAGAAAGAACATTCTCAAGTCAAAATCTGTGAACCTTTTAAAATCCTAACGTACTTAAACGTTGCGACTTTGGTTATTACAGCTTCCAGGCCCGTTTCGAAGTTCTCCTAAACACAAACAAAACCTGATTTTGTTACATCTGCAAACGTAGACGAGGTGTATTTCAGGATTTAATGATGCCTACGTTCTCTGGCAGGTTTTTGACCAGGGTGCTGTGAGCCATGGGCTCAATGCACAGAAGGTGGATGACCTCCCTGGTGGTCACATCCTCTCTGGTGACCTGACCGATCCCAGGAATGTACCGCTCACCTGCACGCACAGAAACAGTCAGACGTCTAGCTTCCTGTCAGTAAAGTAAATAATGCTGAATGTGAGACCGTACCAAAGACGACAATCAGCAGGAAGAGCATCTCCTCTGTCAGACGATTCCACTGCATCAACTCATCCTAGAAATCCAGTTCACCTCTATTAATAATAATAATAATAATAATAATAAAATCTGGCGATAAAACAAGTTTTAGTCCAGGCTGATGTTCACTTGCCTGATCTTTGCTGGAACGGCTTCCGTTAAAATATTCAAAAAGCTCAAATCTCAGCAGGATCAGCATGAGGAAGTGGTTTGGATCCATTTTGGAAGCAGCGATCTGCAGGAAACAGAAAGAGGCTCATGTTGTTAAATAAACACACACACACACACACACACACACGCACACACACACGCACACACTCACCTGGAGCATGATGACATCTTTATCATACATCTCGTCTCGGCATTTTACATCCTGGTAGTAGTAGACCTGTGTGTGTGACATTAAAACAACGAACCACGTTTCATTAGAAAACATCTAACTGACTTATTTAGGTGAATGAAAACAAGCGTTTCACCTGGCTGACTAGCGACAGCCCGTTTCGCCTCCACATTTCGGCCGAGACCTGTGCAGCCAACACCACACACCGCAGAGGATGCTCTGCCAGCAGAGTGAAGTCATAGCTTTCCTGCAACAAACGCAAGCACATTAAAATCCTTTCTTCACTGAATCGGCCACAAAAGTCCAGAAATCCTCTCCAGTCACTTACAACATTATCCAGATGTTCGATTGCCCCCGTTTTACACAGAAGCACATACAAGCCTATGAATCACAAAACACAGAAAAGTCAAAGTTGACCCATTTATATAGAAATTATTATAAACTGTAAATGACTAAAGTTCCCCTACCAGCCAGCAGCCTGGAAATGGGCAGGTGTATGCTGACCGGGTCCTGGGAGACCTTATATGGTGGAACGTGGAGGATGTGTTTGCACATGTAGTAGTCAGTGGCCTCTTTAGGGAATGGCTGATTGCTGCACTGCTTCAGCACCGAGTAGCACTCCTTGAATGTGAGCAGCAGGATCTCCTTCTGGGAAAGGAACTCTTATGAGAATACTGAGAAGAGCAACCTCTCTCCTTCAGGTGAATAAATGGGTAAAAGCTTCTTAATGTTGATATGCAACATTTAACTTGAGCTCGTGTGCGTTTTAGGCTGGTATCGGTAGAATTATTCATTCAGAACAGTGGAATGAGCACGTATCTGAAGGTTTGCTCATGCAAATATTAGTTTTATCAATCCGCTATGCAAATGCACATGCGCGGCCGTAATGTGACAGTGGACGTTTGCGTAGCGGCTCACATCAGAAGAACACCAATCCTGAAACATGGCAAGAACGTGGCGAAGCTGAATCTGGAGAGTGAAACCAGCCTCCCACTCGGGCTCCACGGCGATATGCTGACCCAGCTGCCGCTTCACTTCCTCCATTCCCTGGTGTTAAAAATCCACAGAGTTATTTAGGGTATGGTTTTACATCAACATAATCAAATAGTTAAATAATGAACTCAGTTGGAATAGTTTGCACCTGCATGCATTTGAGAAACCCAAGAAAATCCTTGAACCCTTCCAGAAACTGTTCCCGCAGCTCCTCAGTCCAAACCGACGGCTTACTGATGAGGATGTACCTGAAGGACAAACGAAACTCACTTAACCAATGATGCTATGGTTTAGCACATTTGGGCTCCATAACTTACTAAGTTATTATTGAAAATGGTCATGTTCTATTTGAAATCCCATCATTGTCGGAGCTTGTTAATCACCTGAGGTCGTGAAAGATAACCTGGATGCGTGAGAACTTTTCAGAGTTGTAGCCCTGGAAGAAAAATCGACCGTTGCCATCCAGATGTTCGTGCAGCAGCTCCATGCCCGTAGCAACAATCACTTTAATGACATTTCCCTCTTCGATGAGCTGCCTGGCCTAAGAAGGAGACACAGGTGAGAGAGAACAGAGGTGAATAGTACTGTCACAGTTAGGGCTCGGTTTTACTGTATTTGAGCCGGTCTGTGGATGTGTTGTTTGCTCGGCTACATCTGTTAGCAAGATAAACGTCAGAATAATGAAAACATTTAGAATAAAAACCTGTTTGTTAACGTATTTTGGTAACGGTTAGCATGACGTACTTTACACTTTAACGGTTTCAAAGATTGTACATAAAAACAACAACTGCATCGTCTGTGCTGTGAATCGGTCCTGGCAGCCACCCCTTCTTCCTGGTGCATCGGTTCAACCCGAGGTTTTAGCATCCAATGAGCAGCGAGGGGGACAAACAAGAGGCTAGTCTGGCCTTAGCCAAAGGTGCTAAACACACATGAAAGTCACGTTGTGTATGTGTTAATGCATACTTTTCATGTGATAGACATGCATTTTTGGACCAGCTACCTCTGCTAGCTTAGCGGTTAGCGTGCTACATAGCAGAAGTTACATCCATCTGCTTCTGGTCCACGAGTCTCCTACTGACAAAAAAGTTACTTTAATTTGTTTTTTGTTCAGGGACCCATGAGCTTACTGGATGGGGAGGAGACTAAGGCTCCCCTTGTTCACTTGACTTTTCTCATTCACTGTAAAGTCAGTGTGTAGCGGTGAAATCTGTCATCGCTGAAACGCTTTCCCGCTGCGGATGTTCCAGATGTTGTCTAGGCAATTCATCAGTAAAGCGTATTAACAGTGTATTTAACAGAAATAAACACAGTTTTTCAGTAGGAGCCGGTAGGGCTAGGACCTAAAATCAATATCACGATATATTGAGGATTTCACCTTGATAACGATAAATGGGCGATAACTTCTGGTATGAGCAGAAACAAAAGTCGTCCACTAGATGGGCCAACCTAGACACACATTTTTTTTTTATTATCAAATTTCTTGACATCTTGATATTGGTAAAAGCTAGAAATTTTGATGATACATTTTCGATTTCGAACCAGTATAGCACACGGGCCTGGTCAGAGTCCAGATTGGAAAGGCAGCGATGAATCAGCAAAGAGTCAAAAAGGCTATGTAGATTCAGCAACACGTAATACGAGAGTTCATCAAACAGAGAGGATTTAGCACCACGGTTCATCCAGTAGAGATTATTCACCAGCAGGAAACCAGACTCACTAATGTGGGAACGGTGAAGATCTGAACAGACAGAGCTGTGATGGATATACTTCTGTCATGGTCATCGTTGATAAAGTCTCTCTGCAGCTGCATGTAGTGCTGAAAAAGACAAAAGACGATTCATTTAAAGAACAAACACATTGAAAATGCATCTGTGCTTGCTCACCTTTGTAAACTCAATAGCAAAGAGCCTCTTGAACTCAGCATCCATTAGCATGCTGCAGAAGATCAACTCGTGTACGATCTTGCGAGCTCCTTATAAAATAAAATATATTTCCTGAGTTAGAGTTTTGTAAAATTTTATTAGGATCTTGAATGTAGAAAAATCCAGTATAAGGTAACTTACCTTTATACATCTTAGCATCGCGCAGCATGAGTCTGCTGATGGGACATGGCAGATCTCGGTCTGAGTTTGGCTCTAAAGCCACCTGGCAGAAGGCGTGCCTGAAGCCAGCTGCAGAAGAGGCCGCACAAGTAAGTGCAAGGATGCAAACGTTTAATGTTTGTGTGATCTGGGCATGAGAACAGTGGCTGCAGCACCTGAGTAACCAATGATCTTCTGGAACCAGGATCCCAGGCGGAGTGCAAAGGTTTGATGAGCCATTACTGTTGCATGAAGGATCTCCACGCGCAGCGGCTGTGTGGAAATGTGCTCAGAGTTGGCCTGCAAACCAAAAATAAATAAAAAAGAAATGTGAATCTGCACAGCAGCAATCATTTATTATGTCCATCTTAAAACTGAGATCTAAACTGGCAAAGAGCCAGAGGAGTGTTTACCCTGATCGAATCTTTAGCCTGGAGACAGGAACGAAGGCTCCCTCTCTTTACCGCCCGCCGACCCTATTCAACAAATAAAAACCACCATCAATTTGACCAACTCCCTTCTATTCGTCATATGAACTCAAACCTAAAGTCAAAAGGAAAGCACAAGGTACCTCTTTATCGATAAGTGCTGTGTGTGTTTGTGCTTCAGCCTGACCACAGTTGACGGAGCGCTGCAGGGTGTAGATCACGTGGTCGTACGAGTGGTGCTCGTCATTGTACAGGACGCAGTAGAAAGCGTTTTCTTTGGTCCTGCAAGGATCCAGACACAAGTTCAGTTTAAGTGGAGGCGACCGTATGAGTATGACATCCGACGGGGGTCGTACCGAGGCTGTAGCGCAGCGGATAGCTCAAAGGACTCTTCCCACACCAGAAAATCTGTCATGTAGCACAGCAGGACCCGGAACAGCTGCTCCGCACGTTCATACAGCTGAGGCTGCAGCACACAATCATCCTGCACAGAAGCAGATGAATATACCATCTCTAGTAGCTTTAAAATCAAAACTTTCATGTAGTCATCAGCCTCTGAATGAATGTTTCTCATGCTGCACCTTCTGCACTGTAACTGCTCACCCTTTGTCTTTTTTTCTGATTCTTAAATCTATTTGTGTCACATGATTTTAATGTTCGTGCTATTCGCGCTAAAGAAAGCACCTTGAATTGCCTCTGTGTATGAAAAGTGCTCTACAAATAAAGCTGCCTTGCCTAAATATGTAATTTCCTGTGTTGTAATAATGTGAGCGTGTGACGTCAAATCGGAACGAGCGCTACCACGCCTTAGAGTTAAACGTTCTCAGTGAAGCGGCTGCTCGTCTCAGAAAAAACAGCTTCAGATCTGGTTTAGCAAACACCAAGCAGGCTGTCAGACCGAACCTGGTGACCACCTGCTGTTTATGGAAACACACACATACACACACACACACACACACCCAGAGGCATCAAGGTATAGGCCTGCTTATGATCCCTGAGAGTGATCTTATCAGGGTTAAACCTAAACACAATAATCAGCAAACAAAAGGTCTGACAAGCATCTGCTCAGAGTCAAACCAACAGCATCCATGCACTGTAAACAGAAAACCACACACACACACACACACACACATACACACATACACACTTTTCCTCATCCACTGAGTCGAAGTCTCAGCCAGGACGGCGGTGTTCGTTACTAAGATGAGAAAATAAGCATTCTGGGGTTCACTGACACAGAACGGGACAGGAACATGACTCCCACATCCCTGCTTCCGCTCTGTTACGTAACTCACCGTTACCATGGCAACGGCTGCTCCCGGGTCGTGTTTGGAACAACAGGGGCCTATCTTCCAGGCTTCGACATCGCCACAGTCACAGAACCCCCCGCCTGAAGAGGCGTGCATCTTTAGAAGAAAATAAAGCAAACAGATGAGTCACTGGGTGGGAGATAATGAACACACACACACACACACACACACACACACCAGTAATTAAGTTAGATGTTTGGTTTAACTGTGGGAAACCAAGTGTGCAACACATGAAAATCCTGACAAGCCCAACAATCACTAACCTAAATAACGTCCAAAAATGGTTCACACGTACGAATTTAACACAGGAAGTGAAATGTGCGATTTAAAAAAAGCATTTTATTTTATCGTTAATGAAAACGTTCAGAATTCTCCTCTAAGGGTTTGACTTGTTACAACTTTAATGGATGAATAACAACTGTGAGGTGATAATGACGTTTACAGTTAGAGACTGACCTTGTAGCGATGGCCTTTGTGCACGCTGTCCTGGAAGCAGTCCATGCAGAAAACACACGTAGGGTCTATCGCACAGTCCCTGGAAACAAAATCAACATGAAATGACATATCCCTGTTCAAAATTTTATAAATAAAATTAAAGTTATTTTTACTTTGAAATAAAGTGACAACAGCAAAAGAAATATTTTAAATTTGTTTTATTTTAATGCAACACTCGCCTTCCCTCTCAGTCAACTCTGAATCTGTGTGAACTGTTGCTTTATTTCCTTTTCATTTTGATTTAATTAGTAAAACTAATTAAAACATAAAAAGTCACTTTAGGATAAAAGTCCCAGAAACGTGTCTGAATCCATCGTTACTAAAAGTCTCACAGAAACCTGGGAGTTTAATCATTAACTATTTATCATCAACAGCCTGAACGCTGTGCCGCTGCAGATTAAATCTCAACTTTTGCGTATTAAAGTGATATTCCACCCCTAAGTCAAATTTTGTCTATTTCTGCACTCGCCAGAGTTAGGTAAGTGAGAAAAAAGCATTTTGTAACCAGTGCAGTAAATCTCCTGGTCCGGTTGCAGTCCGTCTGCTTTAGCTTAGCATAAACGATGAAAGTCAATAGCAGAAACTAGCATTTTGTGTGCTAAAGTGATTAAAATGACCCAATAATGATCCCAGCTATTCCTGGTCAGATCACTAATCATGCCGACTGCAAACTAAAAGTAAGAAGTAACAAAAAGGATTTCCAGGAGCCGACTTAGACTTGGGACTACATTACGACAAAGCACGGCTGTAACCCGCCGCTGTATAGCGCATGGCTATAACGCAGCGTCGAAAAAGCCTGCGGCGGCCAAAACACAACAGCATTGTAATTGCATCATTACAATCCATAAGTGGTCTTTTTAAATCTAATTTATTGAGTGTTGCTAATATAAATTACTATAAGCATTAAAGCAACTTTCTGGAATTTTCGCCTTTCAGAAATTATGATTTGTCAGAAATCCGTAAAAGTGATTATCTCATCATGTACTGTGATATAATGTAAGCGATACGTCTTTGTTGTTGTTGTTGTTGTTGTTGTTGCTACGCACGCCCCCTGCCAAAGAGCTTTATGCAATAGGAAACTGAGCACCGACCAGAACTAACCAATAGCGTTAGACTACTGCCTACTTGCTTGAAATTTAAGGAAGTACCTCGGCTGATGCAGAGTTGATGAACTTTTCATGGACAAGTAAGTCTTTAAAATATAAATATATGAAAACACAGCATGACATGAGGATAATCCTCATTAAACAATGTGTTTTAGCTCTGTTTGTCGGCTACAGAAGAACATTTATTAACAGAAATGTGAAGTTGCCATCTTAAAAAAACAGAGCAACAGAGTTTTTGTGTGATATGCTTGTCAGCCACTAGATGGTGCCATCGGATAAGAGAAATACTCCGGAAAGAAGCTTTAAGTGTGGCTAATGTGTGTGTTCGTTTACGGATGCCGGAGGCTTGTTAAACCGCTGTGTTATATCCATGTGCCATGCAGTGGCGGGTTACAGCAGTGCTTTGTCGTGAAGTAATCCCAAGTAGAGGCCGACTGATATATCGGCCGGCTGATATTTTCATCCATCCATTTTCTGAACCCGCTTTGTCCACGCAGGGTCACACGGGGGGGGGGGGGCTGGTGCCCATCTACAGCGGTCAAGGGGCAATCAGGCGGAGTACACCCTGGACAGAGAGCCGGTCCATCGCAGAGCAACACAGAGACACACAGGACAAACAATCATGCACACACACACTCACACCTAAGGACAATTTAGACAGACCAATCAACCTAACAGTCATGTTTTTTGGACTGTGGGAGGAAGCCAGAGTACCCGGAGAGAACCCACGCATGCACAGGTAGAACATGCAAACTCCATGCAGAAAGATCCCAGGCCGAGAAGTGAATCCAGGACCTTCTTGCTGCAAGGCAACAGCTCTAACCACTGCGCAGCCCGATTCAATATTTTCTATATCGGCCGAAATTATTTTTAAAAGCCAATAAAAATTCAAATAAATCAGGCACCTGTGTGGCCAACTGCCACCACTACTAGATGGAAGAAATGGTCCGAAGGACCCCAACATACCGATTTTTTTGTTTTGTTTTGAGTTTGTTGTATATTTGAAGTTCATACAGTGAGTGTTCAGTTGTCATTCACAATCAATGTGCTGCTAAAACGTGTATATACTGCATATCAGCCTTAATAATCAGCTTTAGATATCGGCCATCGGCACAAAATTCTTTAAAAATCGGTATCGGCCTTAAAAAACCACATCGGTCAGCCTCGAGTCCCAATTCTAAGTCAGCTCCTGGAAATCCTTTTTGTTACTTGTTGCTTTTAGTTTGCAGTCTGCATGATTATTGAGCTCACCAGGAATAATTGGTATCACTATTGAGTCATTTTAATCACTTTTGCACACAAAATGCTATTTCATGCTTTCCATGTCCATTGTTTATGCTAAGCTAAAGCAGACGGACTGCTACCAGACTAGCAGATTTACTGCACTGGTTGCAAAATGCTTTTTTCTCACTTACCTAACTCTGGTGAGTGCAGAAATAGACAAATTTTCAATTAGGGGTGGAATAGCCAAAGGGCTGATCTCTACTGTGCTTTTTTCTCCTAGATGTTTGTTATTTTTTCACATGATCCAAAAGCCTTAAGGTGGACAGCCTCAGACAATAACACACACACCTGTTATGTCTTTAGAATCATTTATATTTACACTAAAGCAATAATCTCTCAAGATCAGATGGTCAAAGGAATGTTTTAAAATCCAGAAATACTGTAAAATACTTCAAACTAACGTATTAGAAGAAGTACAGAGTTTTTTCTGTTTCCAGACCTGCAGGAGTAGACAGTCTCTCCCTCTTTGAACACACGCCCACAGAGCTGGGAGGAGGTGCTGCCCTGCTTGAGCTTCTCCAGACCATCTTCAGGATCTTCTCCGAACAGGAAACACTCGAAAGGGTAAAGGAGGCGGCTCTGGGCGAGCTCCTCTTCCTCCTGGAGGCAGGGCTCCTTCTTCAGACAGAAGATCTGCGGTACCTGCTCCTTCAGGTGGCGGAGCAGTTCGGCTCTGCAGTCTGCAGCTTCCAGCCATCCCTTAGAGAAGACAACAGAGGAGGAAACGATGTGGGATCTGACCACCACTGGCAAAAAAAAACAAAAAACACCTGCAATAAAACATCTTACTGTTCAGTTAAATAATCTGAATTATTTAGACTGGAGAGTTTTTGTTAATCTGGTCACTGAATGAACGTGCCTTCGATTTTTAAGAATAACAACATTAATTTAATTGTAATTAACATAAAAATATGTGTATTCATTTACATTATATATATTTTTTAAATCCTCATCATTGAGTTATTTTATGCAGGTCTCAGGTGAATTTTAAACTTAACTGATTTAATTAAACGTGCAAAAATAATGCAGCAAAGTGAAAAACTTTGGTTTCCAGCAACTTTTTGTAATGAGGCAAGAATGAGTCATGCATCTTTACTCTGACAGCGGCAACTGGGCTGAACTCTGGTGTCTAACATCTAAAGGGAGCCAAGAGCAAAGCCAGTGAACAGCTGATGAATCTGTAGAAACGTAATAAAACATTGCGCATTGACTATACCAACGCTGATGGATAATCCTTCCTGGGAGAACCCTTCCAGTCCATTATAGGCCTAATAGGACTAATATAATGAGAGAAAACCATGTAAATTCCTGGGATGAATAAAAAAATCAATAGAAAACAAGATAACCAGTTCTGGCAGTGAAACGCTTATATACGCATCCTTTTACTACATAGAGAAGTATGTAGCAAAAACAAAGAAGTAAATCGACTATATCTAAATTCCACAACAATCTGATATTTTTATTTAATCTAGGCTCAATCGCATCATGTGACATTTAGTACAACAAATATACATCTGCCAGCCAATTTATTAGGTACACCTTAGTAGGGATGTCCCGATACAACTTTTTCCACTTCTGAATACCAATATTGCAGTCTTCAGTGTTGACCGATACCGATATCAATCCGATACGATATCAGCACAAATCATACATATTTTTACTTATTTCCTAGTGTGCAATGTATGAAAGGCTTGATCAAGTGATTTTACTCAATCGGAGAACAAGAGCCAATAACATTAAGTATGAACAGTTGGTTGCGAAAATGTGAACCTTAACAGACCGCTTACATCAGAGATTTTTGATGCCGTTCGATATAATCCGATACATTGTTTTTGGGCCGATATCGATATCGGAACGGGACATCCCTACACCTTAGTAAACCTTTGCTTCAAAACTGCCTTTTGTCACTGGAAACCTAATACAAAGATGTTGGTCTATATTTAGATAATAGGATTATCAAGCAGTTCATGCAGATCTGTCACCTGAAAACATGTGATGTGAGTCTCCTCTTCTAAAATGTGATTAATTCGATTCAGATGTAGTGACTGTAGCGGCTTGAATAAAACATCATTTTGAGATGATTAGAGCTTTGTAGTATTATCCTGCTGGATGTAGCCGTCAGAGCATGGGTCCAGTGTGGAAACACAAGTATGGACACTATCGCCAACAATAATCAGGTACGGGCCCAGACCATTACATCACCACCAGCAGCCTGAACCGTTAAGATGGATCCATGTTTTCAAGTTGTTAACATCAAAGTCTAACCTAGCATTTATGAATGTTGCAGCTGAAGTTGAGATGCAACCTTTTGCTAATATCATGATGAAAACTGCAACACTCAGACCAGCCTGCCTGGCACCAGCACAAATCCACATTCATTACCACTGAAATCCCCTTTCTTCCCCAGATAATCAGACAAAACTTCATCATGTCCACATGTCTAAATGCTACCACCTGATTGGCTGTTTGTGTTAATAAGCATCTGAACATGTTTACCTGCTAAACAAACTGGTGAGTGTATGGTACATCCACGCCAGGAGTCTGTTTAGGTTCACTTACATAAATATGCATCATCAGAACAAATATGTTTTTGTGTCCCAACTGAACACCTTGAAAATAATAAAATGGATTGGATGAAGCAAGTAAAATTATACAAAAATTATATTTCGGTTTTGAAAATAAAACTGAAATAATTTATTTTATACGAAACTAAAACAAAAATCACATTAGACGGATTTCTCAATAATAAAACACAAAGGCTGTAACTACATTAGGACGTTTTAAAATGCGCGATCATGTTGGTTTTTGGGAGGCGAAAACATCTGAACAGGTAAACCTAAATATGAATAACAACACAGTAACAATAAACTAGTTTACTTTAACTGTAAATAAAAGGAAAAGGCATTCAGGACCTCAGGCTAAGCATTTTAAATGTCATGTGTAAGCACAGAGGGGAAAGACAAACACTTACATCATTTCTCATGGAAAAAGACTAAATTTATCCCGAAAAGAAGTAAAAATAAAGTCGGTTTATCCGTAATAAACAGCGTGATGCCTCTCTAATGCTAGTTAGCCTTGGCGGCTACGACTATTATTAGCCTGGCAAGAACAACCTTCTACCATAATGCAGTAAAACCTTATTACACATGATTTTTTTTATTTTAAACTCCGTCGTTTTGCCACAAACTCTCAGAAAGCGCTGTCAACGGAATTAGCTGAGAGAACATCATACCTTACTCAGCTCCAGCCTGTTCATGGATTTCTCACTGTCCGCCATATTCCATTTGCCGTAAGTAGAGGCGTCCAGCACTGTGCCGCGCGCACGCCCGCCCGCTAGGGGGCGTCTCCTCTCGATAGGGCGAGTGAGGGGCGGGGGTTAGAGAGTTGAACGTTTGACAGAAAGCTGAATATGGACTCCATATTTCATGAGAAAGTAGGTTTAATCATTTTATAACACGAATTTACCTGATTATATTTACTGATTTTTGATTAAGCGGTGTCGGTGCTCGATCTGCTGAATAGTTTTACCAGTTAAGTAGCCGCTATCGAGGCGTTTGTGATGGAGTTGTTGTACAAACTGCTAATACGCTAATTCACTTGCTAGTCAGAGAATGTGAAAAGTTAGATTTTTAACATGATAACTATTCCTGGCGTCATGTAGGGGTTTTGTTTTCTTGTTAGTTAATCGCTCTCTGCTTGGCTGGGTCCTCGTTGGGCTAGCTGCTACATGTGTTTGTTTTGGTTGAGCATCTTTATTCCAGAAGTCCAGCTGATGCTGGATGCTTGTTACATTCCTGATCCTTTGTTTGCAGCAAGAGGGCTCCCTCTGTGCCCAGCACTGCCTCAACAACCTTCTGCAGGGCGAGTATTTCACTCCTGTGGACCTGTCCTCTATCGCTCATCAGCTTGATGAAGAGGAGAGGATGAGGATGGCAGAGGGGGGAATGGCTAGTGAGGAGTACAGGACCTTTTTACAGGTGTTATGAGACAGAGGGTACATATTGGTACAAAATGTTATCAAAAATGTAATTTTATTCATGTTTTTCTTTCGAAAATGTGTTTAAAGCAACCCTCTGGGAACATGGATGATAGTGGGTTCTTTTCAATACAAGTGAGTTTACAATTATCTTTTTATTGCTTCTAAAATCCATGTCCTCTTCTGTAATATCACTCTTGTTTCAATATTTTCAAGGTAATTAGCAATGCTCTTCGAGTCTGGGGCTTGGAGCTACTCCTCTTTAATAGTCGAGAGTACCAGAGCCTAATGATAAACCCAGTGTAAGGTTTTAATGTGGAAACATTGTGATAGAAGATCCTGATCTCTCATTTCTTTAAGCTGATGCTTACTTTGTGTTTCAGAAATGAGAAAGCCTTCATTTGCAATTATAAGGAGCACTGGTTTACTATACGCAAACTTGGACAACAGGTGTGTGGCACTCACTCACTTACCTAGTCATACTTGTCTTATAGCAGCTTGATTCACTAAAATTCTCTGTTTCCTTTGCAGTGGTTTAACCTGAATTCACTGTTGACAGGACCAGAGTTGATATCAGACACATATTTAGCACTTTTCCTTGCACAGCTACAACAAGAAGGTAGCATCAGAAACTGTACATTTAGAGGTTGAACTGGAGAAAAGATGATTAAATTAGTTTTTTTTTTTTTTTTTTTTTTTTTTGCAGGGTATTCCATATTTGTGATCCGAGGGAATCTCCCTGAGTGTGAGGCAGAGCAGATTCTTGGGATCATGAGGGTCCATCAGCAGCAGCGGCCAAGGCTCATCGGAGAGGAGGAAGCGCAGACGAGTGCGGGGTGTGTGTCATTTTGTTCACAAGGGTTCTGGTTTGTTTAACTCGTCTGATTCGTGCGTTTTGCTGTAAGCAGAAGGTCGGCTGCTCTGAGCCAGACAGAGGTGGTTTTTGGTGTTGAGGATGAGTCTGTGGGTGAAGATGAAGAACTGAAGAGAGCTCTGGCGCTCAGTAGACAGGACATGGATGTGGAAGATGAAGATGCTGATCTACGCAGAGCCATACAGCTCAGCATGCAAGGTCAATTGTGTGCCATGTGAAGGTTTTAAAACTGTTTGAAACTTGTATTAAACTTCTAAACATTAGTTTGTAAAATTAACTATTTGCATTTGTCTTTCTGCAGGAGCAGTGATGAGCAACAGGATGTCAGACAGTGAAGGGGAGGGTGTAAAATCTGGAGGGCAGGCAGCAGAGAGCACTACAGGAGAACAAAAAGAAGGCCAAAACGAGACGCTTACAGCCGAAGAGCTGAGGAAGAGGAGACGAGCCTACTTCGATCGGTAAGATCTACAACGACTGTTTAAATCCCTAAACGAGCTCTGCCCACTTAGAAAACAGATGTTTCTGTGTTTATAGGCAGCAACAAGCTCAGCCAAGCATTCCTCAACAAGCAGACAAACATTCAGCGGCTGATCCAGGTGATTAAATCTAACTTAGTTCAGAAGTCATGTGACTTGATGACTCGTTTAACCTGTGGCTCTTATTTCCACCAGGATCAGTAAACACTGGCTCTGAGGAGGACCAACAACAAGCTCCCATCCAATAAAGTGGTGAAAGTTTTGTCCGTGTTGTTTACCTGCAGCCTGGATTCAACTCCCCTCTCAGGGGTGGCTTTGCTCCTTCTTCTAACCTTTTGCAAATGCAAACATAAGGGCAGTCAGAAGGCTGACACGTGGTTACTCCCCCGCCCCCTTCCCGCCTCGTTAGTCACTGACTGAGGAAGAGAAGAACGACAAAGAAAAGGCAGCACTTTCTCATCTGAATCTTTTAGAAAGCACGGCCACTGGACCGGAGAAGACTCACGATGCAGTTTAATCCAAGTTTGCAATTTGCCTTTTTACCATGGCGCCTTCTATTTCTATCGTACACAGTTTTATATCCTGGTTTTGTGTTTCTTTTCTTAAACACATGGAAGTTATGTCCTTACTTGCTGAGAGGTAAAACGAAAAGGCGTTCAACAGAAGCAATATGAGACCAACGTTTAGATTAAAGCTTTACGGAAAACAACAAAGCCTCCTGATTTTGTAGCGGTTTTTCGTGCAACACACAAGTAATTAAAACACAGTTTCAGTCAGTCATTTTGTTTTATTGCACAATAGTTCTTTTGTCCTGTCAGAAACGCTAAAACAAACAGGTTATGTATTCCTGACACCATCTGTCTTTTTCCTTCTGGTGATGTTGAACGTTTGAAGAGAGCAGTATATTTTTGATGTTATCAGATTGTTATTTTCTTAAATGTCTCTTGTTAAAGCGCCCGTTTTATTTTTCTCCTGGGAGCAACGATGTCACCGGCAGACTGACCCCTTTTGTCTTTTTCCAGCACAGCGGGATCATTTACTGTTAGAAATGTCTGACGTGTCCGGTTTTATAACATCCGTGTTAATTATTTCTCAAGTATTGCTAGAATTTGTTTTGAACTATTTAGTGATGGTAAGAAAATACATTAAATCAAACATGCTGCCTATCAACACTCAGAAATAGCTTATCCCTTTACTCGTGCATGTCGCAGCCCCCAAAGCACTCGTTAAATTGCACTGATTGGAGTCTTCGGTGACGTGGGTCTACATTAATGTTGTCGTGGCTGAAAGACTGATCCATTGAGAATTTTCAGAAATCATCCAGAAAATCCAAAGAGGAATTTCAAAAATGCTGTTTTATTGCTGAAAGCAATAGCCTGAGTCAGATGTTTGTGTCGAATGGTTCGTATTACATATTTTCTGGAACGTGTGGGATTTATCTAAAAGCCTAAAAAAAAATGAAAGGATGATCGGATGTTTTCATTGTTGTCTTGGATTGGCTGTATGGTTTATTCTTTTTTAAATGCACACGTGTGAGAGGATGAATTGTTACATGTTGGCTTTTTCTGGTCCCTTTATTATTTTCAACCACTTAAGTACTGTTTGTTTTCATGTTTGCACAATTGATTATTTCATTTAATGTACTGTTTAGTGTTGCAGGATTAAAGTGATATTAACTTGTGTGACATTTGTCTTTGTGCTTTTTGGTTGTTGACGGATCTTGGGATTCTGTAAAAGTGCTCATGATTTTTTATATTATTCAACTTTCCGTTTGCATTAAACATTAAAATACACACTAAACCAGGCTGCTTACATAATCCAGTCCAACTTTATTCATAAATATGTTCAAAAAACTGAGAAAGTGCTTTATATCCATAAAAGTATATGCAAACATAATAAATAAGATTACCGGCCCTCATTACGCCTAAATCCCATGAACCGCCCCCAATGCAGCTGCAGCCACTTAAGCAAGGGCTCTGATTTGGGTGGTATAAAATACCTCACATTAACCTGGAACAGGGGAAGGAGTGCTGGCTGAGAAGCTGCCTTCAGCTGTGTGGTGAGTTGGAATAAAAAAAAAAAAAAGTCCAAATCTGCAGTAAAACAAATGTTAGTGGAATGCAAAGAGATAGATGTTTTACTGTTTGATGAGAACTAGAACAAAACCGGAGGTTTTGTGATTTTTTTTAAAGGTGTGGAACATTTGTTTGGCTTAATGGCCTGAACTATGTTGCAATGTTTGTGAAGTGCCTTGAGATGACTCGTGATTTGGCGCTTTATAAATAAACTTGAACTGAATTGTTTAATTAAAACATTTGCATGGTCTCTAGTAGGAATGAATGCCTTGTAGTGCACTCGGAATTAGAAGTGAGCTGTGTCACAGCTGAGCTTCAGATGGCAGGATTTGGAGTCTTATTTCCTGATAGTTAGACACCTTGCCTCTGATTGGCTAACGGCAATGTGACTACCACTGACTTGTAACTTTGTCTCTACAAATAAAACAAGCCTGGAAGACTTCTGATGGGTGTAGGAGACTCTTCATGTACAGCTTACATGGGGAAAGACTGACTTATTTTCACCTTTTAACATGTAGGGGTTATTTTGTTGGGAGTGGGGAAGGAAGGGGAGGTCTCTCCCACTTGTAAAGTTAATTAGTAACCTTAAGAGCACACTTGCACTTTGTTTCCCCAAATAAATCGAATTTTCAGAACTCAACTGGCTGAAGCTGAAAGGTGTGTATGGTAGATCCTAAACTTAAGAGCTGTTCTGTTACGACTTTGGTGTAATTGGAGGATCTGGTTGAATACACCAAGGTGGTATCTGAGCTCTAGTTTAAACATCTAAAGATTTTTCCATGTTTCAGGTTCTCAAAACCTTCCTGGATCCAGTTTTTGATGGTACCCAAGATCAAAATGGCATTTCTCGTCGTCCTTGCCTGTTTGTGCTTTTTCACTCCTACCCATCAATCACCACCTCCAAATGCGGCCATCTTGGAGCTCTCCTACGAAAACACAGACTTTGCCATGAACCTCTACAGAAAACTGGCCAATTACAACGATAAAAACATCTTTTTCTCACCTCTAAGCGTCTCTACGACCTTTGCTTCTCTCTTAATGGCCTCTGGTGGCATCACTCGAGAAGAGATCCTAAGGGGGCTGGACCTGAACCAGCTGGAGACCAACCAGACGGAACATATCCCAAAACTATTTCAGCTCCTCCAAGAGAACATTGCCCAGAACGGATCTTTGAAACTGGAACAAAGCATGGCCCTTTTCATCAGTCAGCAATTCGAGGTGAAGAAGACGTTTGAGGACCGCTTGAAGACGTTTTTTCAAGCAGACATCAGAACTGTAGATTTTGCAGAGTCAACGAAGAGCATCACTTTGATAAATGAATACATCAAACAGAAGACTGGAGGTAAAATTGTTAAAATGATTTCCACTCTAGATGAAACGACTCGACTCCTGCTAATCAACAGTATTTACTTCCAGGGTGAGTTGACTCATTGCTTGTTCGAGTGCACCTTTGCCCTCAAGTGTCACGTTTTAACCAAACACCGTTCCCCCTGAACACAGGAGCCTGGAAGAATCCATTCAACCCTAATTTAACCGAGAGCGCCGCCTTTCACATTGACAACTACAACGTCGTGCAAGTGTCCATGATGATCAAGGAAGAGAGGTTCTTCGTAACTGAAGATGTCCTCCTGGGAGCCAGGGTGCTGAAGCTGCCTTACCAGGATGGTGTCTCCATGCTTATCCTGCTCCCCAACAAAAATGTGGATTACACTTCAATTGATGAGGAGATCAGTGCTGAGAAGTTCTCCAGCTGGATCGAAGGCCTGCGCAAAACGTAAGTGACTAAATCCAAGGTCGCTGAAAATGCCTGAACTCTTGCCTAAACAGGCATCAGCGTAATGTTGTGTCTTCATAGAAAACTGGAAGTCCACGTGCCAAAATTCAAGATGGAGCAAGCCTACGCACTGCAGAACATTCTCCCAGACATGGGCATGACCAGTCTCTTCAGCACTTCAGCAAATCTGACGGGGATCAGTGAGGGACAAGATCTCATGGTGTCAGAGGTTGGGCATCTTTTTTATTTTTTTTCTCATGTGGTAATCCCGTGCATGTCCAGACATCAATCTCTCTTAAATCCCAGGTGCTGCACAAAGCGGTGATTGAGGTCGACGAGACGGGAACAACTGCTGCTGCTGCTACAACCGTCGGCATCACTCCATATTCCCTACCAAGGATGTTTATCGTTGACCGGCCGTTCTTCTTCTTCATATACCACGAAGAGACCAAGTCCCTGCTTTTCATGGGCAGGGTGATTGACCCCACCAAAAACTAATCGAACTGTCTGAACTCTGAAAATGCTTGTTCAAGGGTTTTAAGATCTTTAAATCCCTCAATTTCTGTTAAATCTACAACTAATTAAAATATTGAAATGTGTTTTGGATGTCTTCAGTTGGTTCCTACTTTAAAAACGGAGTAAATTTGCAAGGCTTTATATAAAAGCTGCTATTGGGTGAATGCATCAGTGTTTAACAAAGATTACTTTCATTTCAGAGCTGAACTAATTTACAAAGGCTGATCTGTTTTCATTCAGCAGGACACATCGTACCCTAGCACACAGATGCTGGTCATAATTAAACTATCAAGAGAAGTTGACTTTTTTTTTTCTTCAGTAATTGTATTCAAAACGGATATTTCAAACGTTCGATTTTGGTCAGAACTGACTAAAATCCCAAATTCAGTATCGGAAAACTTTTAAGACTGACTCTAAATTCTTAGAAATGTCAGCTGAGAAGTTTAAGCAACTTAATATTTAGTGGGGACTTCTTTGGCCTGGATTACTGCAGCAGTGTGGTGCTCAGGTGTTCTGAAAGCCCATGTTGCTCTGGTGACCTTCAGCTCTTGTTGGGTCTGGTGCCTTGAATCTTCACAACTCCCGGTTATCCACGGAGTTACGGTCAAGTGAGTTTGCTGGCCAATCAAACTGGGATACCATGGTCCTCAAACCTTGTAATGGTAACTTTGGCACTGTCTGCATCTGCAAAGTCCTGTTGAAAAATGATCTGTCTCCATAAGTTTGGTCAGCAGCAGTAAGCATGAAGAGCTCTAAAACTTACTGCTTGGTGGCGCAGTTAGTACTGTTGCCTTGCAGCAAGAAGGTTGCAGGTTCGAAACTCCGCTGTGGCTTTCTGCATAGAGTTGCGTATTCTCCCCATGCATGCGTGGGTTTCCTCCGGGTACTGCGGTTTCCCCTACAGATCACATGCCCTGCAAGTTAAAAATTGTACGTCGCTTTGGACAAAAGCGACTGCCAAAAAAATTAAACTTCCTGATGGCTGCGTTGACCTTGGACCTCAAAATACAACGGGCAAAAACCGGCAGATGACATGGCACCTGAAACCATTAACTGGAAACTTTAAACTGGATTCTGTGCTTCTCTTCCTCCAGACTCTGGGATCTTGATTTCCAAAGAAAATGCAAAATTAACTTTAGTCAGAACATAACATTGGACCAGTCAGCAGCAGTCCAGCCCTCTTGGTCTTTAGTCCAGGTGAGATGCTTCTGACATTCTTGTTCAAGAGTAGCTTGACACAAAGACCCATGTCTTGTATACATCTGTTTGAGGATTGATTTAAGACGTGTGATGCGGCGGAGTTGGAAAAAGCAGGACTTGACAGTGTTTTGCTGTCATTTGACATGGCAACCTAAACACCCTCAACTTTAGCAATGACCTTTTGTGTCTTGCCCTCCTTGTGCAAGGTGTAATGGTCATCTTTTGGACAGGTAAGTTAGCAGTCTTCCCCATGATTGTGTAGCCTACAGAACTGGGCTGACCCCTTCTTTCCACTGCACGTGAAAGTGTCGCAAAAAAGCTGCAAAATGAAGGATGCCAGAATTGGCTGCCGTTATCGTGGATGAGTTCCTTTCCACCACCGTGACGTTTTGAAGCGAGGGCATGCTATCGTTACGTTTTGAGTATGTTTTTTACGTGCTAAACTTCCAAAACATGCCCAACTGTGCAGTTTAGATCGCACCAGACAGGAAGTCATACGCAAAGCAGTGTAAAACACATCTGGAAACTTTCAAAATTAAAGTAACATGCAGGTAAACGTATGTCATTTCCTGCTATAACCCCCAGAGCAGATGTAAACAAGAGAAAATAAACCAGACCTTTTGTGAGTAATGCAGCTACCTTTCTGCTTGCTTATTGTGTGTGGACTTCTGAAATCACGGGTGGTGTTACAATTCTTCCGTGATTTTGTAACGTCACGGGATCAGCTGTGTGGAAGACTTTAACTCCCATTTTGCATCATTGCTCCAGGGGCTTGCGGGGTAAAATCATCGACATAAATGGGTAAAATGCCTCTTTTACATTACGCGACCACTTTCATGGCTGGTGGAAAGCCGGGGTGACAAACCATTTAAAGGCATTTGCTGGTGTTTTGAGTTAATTAGCTGATTAGAGTGTGGCAGGAGTCTCCAATATTGGCTCTTTTCACAATAATCTAATGTTCTGAGAAACTGAATTTGGGATTTTCCTAGTTGTCAGTTACAATCATCAAAATTAAAGAAATAAACATTTGAAATATATCAGTTTGTGTTTAATGAATTAATCTACTATAAAAGTATCCCTTTTTGAATGGAATTACAAAAAGAAATCAACTTTGTCATGATATTCTAATTTTAGGACCTGTTCTTGGCTAATCTAACACTGGCTATTTGCTCTTGTCAGTTTTATTTTCTATGTGATGGTTAAGGATGGTCACCAGACACCTGAGAGGGCTTTTTAAGTTAAACCTTAGATTGTTGTCTGGCCCATACAACAAAAATACAATGTTAGTGTGACTAGAAGCATTGTCCAAAATATTTATTTGAATAAAAAACATCGTAAAACCTCAACAGTAAATGAAATCCCAAAACAAAAATGATTTTAAGACGAGCAAATATACAAAAGAAAACTATAGCCTCAACTATTATGTACTTTTGAGTTGTGCATATTACTACTTTTTACAGCAAAACGTAATATAAATGTTCTCACGATTGTACATTTTTACTGAGAAACACCCAGAACCCTGATGTAATAATAAAAACTGAAATAATAGGTTTCATTAGGCTAATCTGGAAAGTTTTGATTTTGGGATTTGTCTTCCGTTGTTTGACAAATAAAGTTTTTACAAACCACGTGACGCACTGTCATGGCGGCGTACTTGTTCGATGCGTGGATGTAGATCAAAAACATCTTTTATAAGCAACTTGCTTTTAAACCAGGTATTTGTTTCCCTTTATGACTAATGTAGCTTAATTTAAACATTTTACAACTAATTTACATGTTTTTGTAATTGTCGTTGCAGTTTCGTCACAAAGGCGCGACACACAGCGTGGGGAAAGTCACATTTTAGCAGTAACTGAATCTTTATTCGAGACAGTTGTTTACAGGAACACGAAAGTACAGAAGATGAAACCTAAAAACAAACGTGTTTCCTCTGGAAAGAAGAAGAAGGCAGTGAAGTGGAGCATCGATACGAGAGGCGAGTGGAAAGCCGTGGAGCTGGATCCCAGTCTAATTGTGGAGAAGGGCCTGGAGGATCTGGTGTGCTTCGAAGAGCTGACAGATTACCGCCTGGTAGACAGCGAGAAGGCTGCAGCCAGAGCTGCTAAAGAGCTGAAAACAAAGAAGGCAAAGAAAAGAAAAGCTGAGGAGACAGGGAAGGTGGAGAGCAAAGAGGCAGAAAACACAACTGAACCTGTCAAGAAAAAAGCAAAAAAGAGAAAAAACAAGAAAGGAGCTGCTAAAACATCAGATGATCATAATAAAGCTGTGTCAAAAGAGGATAAATCTGCTGGTGAAGACGGAGGAGGAAATAATGCAGCACATGAAGAAAAAACAGCAGAAGTATTAGAAAATACATCAGCTGGTACCAAAAAAAGGAAGAAGAAGAAGAAAGTAAAGCAGCAGAGGGTTCAGGATGTGGTTGCAGATGAACAAATAGACTTGGAACGTTTACCAGAAAAATCCAGTCATAATAAATCTGGAAAGCCTCTTAAGAGAAAGACTCAGAACTGGGCAAATGCAGCACTGTCTGGTTCTGATGACAAAAAGTCTGATGTGAGTGCGTGGAAGGATCTGTTTGTGCCACCCCTGGTTCTGAAGGCACTGAGCAGTCTGGGATTCAGCTCACCCACACCAATTCAGGCCCTGGCGTTGCCACCAGCTATCAGAGATCGGATGGACATACTGGGAGCAGCTGAGACTGGTAAGGTCACTTCAACTTTCATCTTTTAAACAGTCATTAAGATTATTGGCTCACCTTGCTTGTGTACAATTTTAGGAAGTGGTAAGACTTTGGCTTTTGGGATTCCCATGATCCACACCATCCTGGAGTGGAAAAGCGGCGCAAAGAGAACAACTGAGGACACTGGACCGGCCTCAACGGCGGAGAGCTTGCGTTTACCGTCAGATGATGTTCCCACAGAATTACCCAACCAGGACAGTGATGAAGATTCAGAGGAAGGTGATTTAGATCAGACTCTAGAAGCCTCTGATGAAGAAGATGCCGAGGATGGCGATGAGAATGAGCAGCTTGGGTGTGTTAAAGTGATCGACAAAGTGGAGTTTGATTTTGAGGAGAAAGCTGACGGTCGGAGTCGTCCTCTCCTTGGGCTGGTTCTCACTCCCACCAGGGAGCTGGCTGTTCAGGTCAAACATCACATTGACGCTATCACCAAATTTACAGGTGAGCTTTTATTACACAGAAGTGTTGATCCGCCGCGGGATGTATCTCCTTTTACACTTTTGTTGGTGTTTCTGTGCTGCAGATATCAAAACGGCGGTCGTTGTAGGAGGAATGTCTCAGCCGAAACAACGACGGATGCTGAAGCGCAGGCCCGAAATCCTCATTGCCACTCCGGGACGTCTGTGGGACTTAATTAAGGAGCAACATCCTCACCTGCTCAACCTCAGACAGCTCAAGTACGTCACAGTTCAAATCCCTTCAGCATCTGATTCATAAAACTCATATCCCAATATGAAAAATATGATAGCAAGCATCCACAAATCACAAAGCAATAAACTATAGATCCATACCAACTGCATCTTTTGTCAGAAACATAGAAACTCAGCATTATTAGTTTAATTACATGCATGCTTCTTTTGGCACCTGTCTGGCTCTGGTGCTGCAGGTGTCTGGTCATCGATGAAGCCGACCGCATGGTCGAGAGAGGTCACTTTGCAGAGCTGGAGAGTCTGCTGGAGATGCTGAACACGACTCACAGCAACCCTACGAGACAAACATTTGTCTTCTCTGCTACTCTGATGATGGCACACAGCCTGCCCAGCCGCCTCCTGCAGAAGAAGAAAAGGAGTCTGGACTCCAGGAGCAAACTGGAAATTCTCATGGAGAAGGTGGGGATTAAGTCTAAACCCAAAATCGTTGACCTCACCAGGAAGGAGGCCACGGTTGAGACGCTGACGGAAACACGGATCCACTGTCAGAAGGACGAGAAGGACTTCTACTTGTATTACTTCCTGCTTTGTCATCCTGGACGCACCATGGTGTTTGCAAACAGCATTGACTGCATCAAGAGACTCACCTCTCTGCTGGCGATCTTGGATTGTTCTCCGCTGCCTCTACACGGCAACATGCACCAGAAACAGCGCCTCAAAAACCTGGAAAGGTTTGCCGAGGGGGAAAAGTAAGCAGTGCGCTTACTTGTGTGTACAGTGATCCCTCGTTTATCGCTGTAGATGCGTTCCAGACCTGGCCGCGACAGGTGAAAATCCGCGAAGTAGGGACACCATATTTACAGTACAGCACATTCTCTTTTTGTGGGTAAAACTCAAGAGAAAATTTTTTTACTTGTTTTTTTTTATAGTTTTATTACAAAAAGTGCATTTTATGATGATATTGATGAAAAAAAACAGGAATTTGATATTTCACATAGAAAAATACCGCGAATCGGTGAAAAATGCCACGAATCTGCGAATTTCCCTTGAATAAGCCTCCAACGAAAAAATCCGCGAAGTCGTGAATCCGCGATAAACGAACTGCGAAGTAGCGAGGGATCACTGTAACTTGTGATTTGTAATGATTTTGTGTGTTCTTGTTACTGAAACATGATTTTTATAAAAACTTTTCAGTTAAATAAAATAATTCCAATAATATAAACTCACAAAAACAATAATTAACTTCTGAAATGATGAGCATTACCTTTAAAGATGCACCTTCCTGAATCTGGCTTTTTACTTTTTGCCTTCGCAGCTGTGTTCTCTTGACGACTGATGTGGCGGCCAGAGGCCTGGACATCCCCGATGTTCAACATGTTATTCACTACCAGGTCAAACCTAAAGACCTTTACCTACCTTTAATGGGTGTTTTGTGTAAAAGTTGTAAATTATTGCTGCTTTGTCTAGACGTAGATAACAGTTCTCCACTTTGCTTGCAGCCAAGGCCAAAGAGCAAGTTCCCTGAGACGCTAATTTTACTTCTTATTTTCGAAATACAATCAGTTACTCTGAGCTTAACATGCTGGCTAAATGTGAAAATAGTCTTCTACCCCTATTTCCTGCATTTATATAGATGGGGAAATGCTCAGATTAGAAAAGCATGTCACTTCATCGTATTGAAAATGATCACTAAGACTCTCATCTTGGCTCACGACGGGGAAGGATGTTAGTGATTTAGCGTCCACAAGAGAGCAGAGGGCATCTTTGCTAGTAGAAGCTAGCTGCATTAGCAGCTCCATCCCACTCCACCACGCGGCAGAGCTCCTTCAGGCGTGTGTTATTTGCAGAGATAAAACATCAACGTTGCAGAGCAGAGTCAGTGGTAGTCACGTTGCTGTTAGCCAATCAGAGGCAAGATGTCTAAATATTAAGAAATAAGACTTAAAATCCTGCTGTCTTTAACTCATCTCTCTGAATAGCTTCTAATTTCCAAAAGAGGGAGTGCCAGAGCTTTTTCCCCCACAGAGATCAACTCACAAGGTGTTCATTTATACTAGACCACTGCAAATGCATTGAAAAAACAAGTGAACTTGGTCTTTACACAAATCTGATCTCCTAACTTTCATGGCAGATCATGCTGATTTATTTTGGAAACATTTACATTCCCATCAACGTTTCCTTTTATTTTAATAATTGCAAATGTTACCAGCAGCAACTAAATGCAGCATTTTCTGTGTATCCAGGAGATTTCTTAATACTGCTGAAAAATACCTCTTTAATGAAGTTTTCTCACAAATATTCATATTTGCTCACAACAGGTTCCTAGGACGTCTGAGACTTACGTCCACAGGAGCGGCAGAACAGCGAGGGCCACAAAAGAGGGGCTGAGTTTTCTGCTCATGGGCCCAGACGACATGATGAACTTCAGAAAGATTTACAAGACTCTGGGAAAGGATGAGGAACTCCCAGAGTTCCCAATAGAGATCAAATGCATGGAGGCAGTCAAGGTGAGTCAATCTCAAACTTATCTTTTTATTAAACCAGGAATATTTATAGTTACAGTCGTGTCAGCAAACATGTTTCTAAGACATTAAAGAGTTTAGATTGAATGATTTACTGATGTGATCTCACAGGAACGAGTAAACGTTGCCAGGAGCATAGAGAAGATCGAGTACTACAACGGCAGAGAGAAGCAGCATAACTCCTGGTTCAGACGAGCTGCAGCAGCCCTGGAGGTGGACCTGGATGATGATCTTTTACTGGGTAAGACCAACATCAACCCAGTTATTTAAAACACATTTAAAACAGGTGACCAATAATGCATTTGGTCCATAGGTGGCGCTAAAGAAGAGCAAGAGGACAGAGAGCAGCAGAAGATGGTGAGAGAGATGAAAAAGCAATTGAGGCGTTTGATCTCGCAGCCTGTTTTCAAGGGTGCGATGAAAACGAAGTACCCGACGAAAATGGGAAAGCTCCCGCTGCCTCACACGCCCGGCGCAACGATGGAAAGTGCCCTGGCCAGGGTTGCGGTGCAGAAGAAGAAAGATGAGCTGAAGAAAAAGCTTCAAACAAATCAGAAAAAACTAAAGAAAGTGGAGCAGCAGCAGTGATGGTGATGAAAATGTCCAGCGAATCAGACAGGTGGATGACTTTATGTAAAAGTGACTTTAATTCATGATGTAGACAGATTTTTATAAAGATCTTCGTCAATCAAAGAGAGTCTGTGTTCCTGAGCTGATCTGGGTTCCGGTGAATTCGCTGGTAGATGATGTTATAGTGAGATGTTTGGTAGAGGAGGTGCACAGATGGTTCAACACCTTCTGGAATGATGTGGTGAGCTAGTTGTTCTTTATCACCCTCCATGGAAACGATGTGGACTCCAACATCCAGGGCCTGCACCAAAGCCAGGATGTCCACATGATCACACTCCATGGCCATCGTCTCCACTTCCTGAATAACAGGAAATGCTTCATGCATCTATTTTAAACACTCGGGGTAAACACCTAAGTGATGGCAGCACCTCATGGTGACCAACCTGACAGCAGTAGACTTTGAGATCTGGCGCCTCGACAAAATTACAGAAGAAGTCAGCGTGGTTCTGGAGGTGAGCCGACGTGAGCAGCCTGAGAAACTGGATCACTCCATCAGAGATCAGCTTCTCGTTGAAGAGTCTGAGTAAAGTGTCTTCCTGCTCATCAGCCAGACATTGCTCTACAACACGGACCAGCTTCACAAGGAGGAAAACAGGAAACGGTCACTAGAAAATATCTTTTCCTACACCACCAGTTCCAGAACAGGTTCATTAACTGGTTTCAGCTGTTTAACCCAGAGGTGGGTGATCACTGGCAGTTTTAGTTTCTGTTTAACCTGATTATTAGGATTGTATGGAAAATGACATTGTTGTGCTTTTACATTCTGCATGAAGTCAAAGATTTAAAATGACAAAATTTCCCAAAAAAGTAAGAAATTAAAATTTTTCTGCTAAAGAACAAATTTGATTGAATCAAAACCCAGTATTTGCATATTTACCCACGTGCATTCAGAGGGGAGCATTTATGATGATCAGTTTTGTCCAGTGATGGCCCTCAAGGACCACTTCCCAGCATGTTTTAGTCGTTTTCCTGCTCCCACTCACCAGATTTAGTGGTTTAATTACACCAGCAGCTTCTCAACAAGTCAGGTATTAATTCAAGTCAGGTGTGTTGGGGCAGATAAACCATAATATATGCAGGACGGTGGCCACCGAGGGCCAGGATTAATTACTGCAGCTTTTTACATGATTTTTGGAGGAAGAACTTATTTACTGTATTCTGGTGGTGGCTGAAGGAACTCTCATCAAATCCCGCAGACGTCAAAACTCTTCCACTCTGGATGATCTTGTCCTTAAAGCTGATAACACGGTGGTTATTATTACCGCCTCTGATAATAATAATAATACATTGGTGTGAAGCTGACCTCTGCAGAGCTCTAGGGTGGTGTAAGGCTGACTCCAGGTGTGCGAAGCAGGCGGCTCTGTAAAAGCAGTTCCCATCTCCGCTCACTTTCCTAACAGCGCAAAACTGGCTGCTTAAGTCCTAAAGAAAGGTGAATTATAATGTTTAAATGGTGGACTCGTGTGTTAACCAGCACCCGGTGAATTGCCTACGTTGTACTTTGCACTTGGAGTTGTTTCCGCAGGGAACAGCGCAGAAATGTCCTCTCTGCATGAAACAAGGCTGCCGACCTCCATTTGTTTTCTGTCGGGAAAATAAAACTGTTTCATATCCGCGAGACCGAAACGCGAAACGTGACGTCAAGTCAACAATAGATGACTACATGACTTACCTTCATATTTCAACAACCAGGGGAAAAAAGGAAGAAAATAATGCAACTACAGTTTTGTAACAGTGTGCGTGACTTTGTGCGTCACGAGTCGAAACATGTCCAAACAAGAAGTTGGTTCCACTTTCAGAATACAGGGTTGCACCACGTGCGTTTCATTTAAAGGGACAGTACACAATTTATACCACCGACGTAATGTTAAAGGGATAGTTTGATGAGGAAAGTTTTGTTTTCGGTTGCACGGAGGCGCACCTGGTGGCATTAATACAGTGAAAAGGTTGCTGGTTTGAATCCCAGCAGCCGTATTTGTGCAAGCATGTTCGCATGATATAAAGGAGGGGTTTCCCTGTGTGCTCCAGTTTCTGTCACACAGAACCTAAAACATGCATGTTTTAACTGTGAGTCATAAATATTCCCTAAACGTGAGTGAGTTTGTGATTGGTTGTTTACCACCAATGATGCTGTTTGACACTAGCTCTCTGCTTCGAGAGAGAGAGAGAGAGAGAGAGAGAGAGAGAGAGAGAGAGAGAGAGAGAGAGAGAGAGAGAGAGAGAGAGAGAGAGAGAGAGAGAGAGAGAGAGAGTGAGTGAGTGAGAGGAAGACAGAAAGAGAGAGCGTGAGAGTGAGTGAGAGAGAGAGAGAGAGACAGAAAGAGACAGTGAGTGAGTGAGAGAGAGACAGAAAGAGACAGAGAGAGAGTGAGTGAGAGTGAGGGAGACAGAAAGAGAGAGAGAGTGAGAGAGACAAAAAGAGAGAGAGAGACAGAGAGTGAGAGAGACAGAGAGTGAGTGAGAGTGAGTGAGAGACAGAGATAGATAGAGAGAGAGTGAATGAGTGAGAGAGACAGAGAGTGAGTGAGAGTGAGAGAGACAGAGAGTGAGTGAGAGAGAGAGACAGAAATAGAGAGAGTGAGTGAGTGAGTGAGTGAGTGAGTGAGTGAGTGAGTGAGAGAGAGACAGAAAGAGAAAGAGATACAGAGTGAGAGAGTGAGTGAGAGAGAGAGATACAGAGTGAGAGAGTGAGTGAGAGGGAGAGATACAGAGTGAGAGAGTGAGTGAGAGGGAGAGAGACAGAAAGAGACAGACAGAGAGAGAGAGAGAGAGAGAGAGAGAGAGAGAGAGAGAGAGAGAGAGAGAGTGAGTGAGTGAGAGGAAGACAGAAAGAGAGAGAGAGAGAGTGAGAGTGAGTGAGAGAGAGAGAGAGAGAGAGAGACAGAAAGAGACAGTGAGTGAGTGAGAGTGAGTGAGAGAGACAGAAAGAGACAGAGAGAGAGAGAGAGTGAGTGAGAGTGAGGGAGACAGAAAGAGAGAGAGAGTGAGAGAGACAGAAAGAGAGAGAGAGAGAGAGACAGAGAGTGAGTGAGAGTGAGAGAGACAGAACGAGACAGAGAGTGAGTGAGAGTGAGAGAGACAGAGAGTGAGTGAGAGTGAGAGAGACAGAGAGTGAGTGAGAGAGAGAGACAGAGATAGAGAGAGAGAGAGACAGAGATAGAGAGAGAGAGAGTGAGTGAGTGAGTGAGAGAGAGACAGAAAGAGACAGAGATACAGAGTGAGAGAGTGAGTGAGAGAGAGAGATACAGAGTGAGAGAGTGAGTGAGAGGGAGAGATACAGAGTGAGAGAGGGAGAGAGACAGAAAGAGACAGAGACACAGACAGACAGAGAGAGAGAGAGAGAGAGAGAGAGAGAGAGAGAGAGAGAGAGAGAGAGAGAGAGAGAGAGAGAGAGATTCCGTTGCAGGTCACTTCATTCAATGACCTCAGTTTAACAAAACAGAAACTAGTTCAGATCAAAAAGTTAACTCACAGCTGGTCACAAGGTGAAAATGTTCAAAAACGAGTGTTTTCATAGTTGGGACTTCAGGATAGATTCTAGGAGGAAACTCACCAGGGGAGACGAGAGCTCGACCCTCTCAGCAGGTGTGTCTCCATACAATTTCAGCCCTTTCAGGACTTTGCACGGACGTCAGCACTTTGCGGCTGCTTCATCAGTGAGTGATGTCACTGATCAGCGCCAAAAAGCATCCACAGTAACATTAACGAGGGACTGCACACCATCAGAAAATGTAACTCCACCCCTAGTCAAGATTTGACAAATGCTATGGAAGTGTGGGGGATTTCCATCCTGGGAGGGAGGGGGAGTGGGAGGAGAGTGTACCGATGACTGAAACTGTACCAGCTCCAGTCAATCAAAAATTAAAAATGCAGTAGCTACAGTTCAACCCACAGGGGGCAGCACTAAGACATTTTAGACCTAGATTCTTGATTTTATCAAGTTTACACAAACATGTCAAAAATGCACATAACAGAAAGATTGCATTTGTAAACACCCAGTTATACAGTTTATAAGCAGCAAAAAAAGTTATTTTGGGGTTTTGTTACTCTTTAAAAGTTTTATTCCATCAAAGAAATTTAATCCATTCGGAGATGAAAAAGGACACAGCTTTTACACAATTTGTGAGGTAAAATCAATTAATAAATTTAGTTTATCAAAATTTAGTATCTGCATGGGATTTAGAAACTAATCTGCATTTCCCCTTTTAAGGGAATACTGTGATCCTTCTTCTTTTATCCCTTTTCCCTCCAAGGATCGCCACCGTACCAGGCTGTAAACATGCTTATTTCTGCTGTGAAATTGGTATTTTTTAACATGGGAGTCAATGAGGATTTGCTCGCTTCTGATACCAGCCCCCAGCGGATGAGGGTGGAACTGCAATTTTTGGTACTTCCGGGTTGGGACCAATTTTAGAGGGTCTTGCTGAAAACACAAGCAAAAAATACCCTGTTGCTGGATGAAGCATCTTATTTGTTGATGATGAAGCGAAATATACAATTAGTTCCTTGTCATTCATTTGTTTACTTATTCAATGCCATTTATACTTGAACATTTGGATTTGATTACATAGTGTAGTTGTTTTAGTAATTTGTTTAAAGTGGCTATTTATTTTAAATACATAGTTTTTTAAGGTTGACTTGTACAGTGCTCAAGTCAAGTGTGGACTGGAGTTTTAGATTTTCATTTTGATAATGAAGAAAACAAGTATATGAGAAAACAAGTGGTGTTTCTTTGATTTGTTTACATATTGTTTATGTTTTGAATGTTTGGATTTGTATCTGACTACTGTAACATGTTCCAGAAAAAGAAGCTATTTGTTCCTTTACTTGTGAAAAGTTGCACTTTTGCTAAGGCTTTGTGTTATTTTAGGTTTAATAAACATTGTTAAACCTTTTCAAAACTATTTCAGTTTGTGTGGAACAGGACTATCAATGCTTTCTGAACATATGCAACACCGTTTAAAAAATACAGCTATAATACCGAAAACCATGATAATTTTGGTCACAATAACCGTGAGGTTAAATTTTCATACCGTGACAACCCTAATGACCGGCAAGATGCAGCCCTCAGAAAAGACAGCAGCCTGCTGTCAGCAGGTGACAAGCTCCTGCGCTCGGGGGGGCAACGCGCTGTGCCAGAGCGTCAGTACTGACACGCGATCATTCATGTCGGTTCATTTCCTTTAATGCTTTCTGTCTTTTATTTGCGCCTGATGCGTTTCGCTGTGGAGCGGGGCGCATCACCTTGGCCTCCGGTGACGCACTGATCACTGATGCGGCCGCCAAGCAGCGAGCACTCTGCTGTTGTTGCGGTCGGTAGATCTGTGTCCTGAGCATGGCCACAGTAACTTTATCAAATCAGGTGTCGCCACCTCAAAAACTAATTTAACAAGCGATCGTTCATGTCGGTTCATTTCCTTTAATGCTTTCTGTCTTTTATTTGCGCCTGATGCGTTTCGCTGTGGAGCGGGGCGCATCACCTTGGCCTCCGGTGACGCACCGATCACTGATGCGGCCGGCAAGCAGCGAGCACTCCGCTGTTTTTGCGGTTGGTAGATCTTTTAGAACTGCAGCTCAAAGGTAACTCATGAGGTGAATATATATGAACCCAGGTAGCAGTTTCTCTTTAGGATTGAGAGGAGATGCAGGAAGATAATAAACAGACAGGACAGAAAAATAATCAAATAAAAACAAGTTAGCTTTTGTACCTGGTGGTTGCAACAAACAGACACCACTGAAGGTAATCAGAAGTGAGGAACAGAAAATGAAATAATTATTTTAATGTTTAGAGCAGCAGGAACTCCGAGAGGCTGCAGGCGCATCAGTGAGTTTGCGGCTGCTGATCAGGGGGAGGGGGGAGATGGCTGAAGCAGAAACTACCGTTGTTAAAAGAAATGTGTTTAACTTTGAAAATGTGGGCGCAATTTTAATTGTCAAAAACTCCAGCGAACCATTAGTTCATTTTGCTCAAATAGAAATAGAGGCCTGCCTCTAATACTGGCCCTCCTTCCAATAAAGGCCTGGAGCTTGATGAGCTTGAGTCAAATACAGGCCCGGGCCTGTATTAGAGGATTTACGGTATGTCCAACATCATGCTGCTCTGTTGTTATTTTTATTTTATTTTTTTAATTGCCCCTCTGGGATAAATAAAGTTTTTCTGATTCTGAAAGGTGAGACCCTCTCTGACCTCCTTTGACTTTGATCCAACCAAAGCCATTGACATCTGGCATGCTGACAGTTTGCGCAGACGCAGGCCTGAATTTGTGCGCAAAAATGCAACAAAAGAAAGTGATGCTTACTCAGATTCAGAAAAAGAAACAAGTTCAGAGAGCTCTGAGGATGAGGATGTTTGATTCAGAGGGAAGAGATACAGTGGGAAAAAATAAATCAATGTTGCACTTTCTATATGTTCTTGTGTGTATTTTAGTGTGTGCATTTTTCACAACAGCAGTGTTAATAAAATGACAAAATCTTTATTCAGTGGCATTCATAATCTCTTTTTTGACTGCAGAAAAACATGGCTAGTGGAAATCCAAGGTGATGATCATAAAGGTTAATTTTGAACCCTGGTTTTTACAATGAAAGAAAGTTTATATTTTGGATTTGTACTTCAAGTTCTCAATTGGTGTCGTTCTTGTCCTGACCAGCAGGTGGCGGTAACATGTTCATTGTTCTCCGAGCGCCAACCAAAACCAAGACGAAGAAGAAGTAAAGGACTGTTGGCTAGTGATGGAATGATGATATGATTGATACCTCAAGGAGTGTATTGACACACTAGACAAACTGTGTCGGCACTGTATTGACACCGTGTTGGTCATTCAATAGTGACACCTGCAGTATTTCTAAAATCATTGCAGGTAAATAAGATGGAAAAGCTTACATGCTGCAAACCAACACCAGGTGTGCAAGTTTTAATTTTCTGTAATCAAAATATCATATTGTGGAATTTAATTTACTCAATTTGTTAAGTTGTTTATGAAAGGAGTTTAACAGTTGCTTATAACCTTTGTGTAAATGCTACAATGAGTTGGCATGTTAAATCTGAATGTGTCTAATAAAAATCAAAGTAAAAGTTTTAACTTATGTAAATGTGTTAACCTCGGTGTTAGATCATACAAAATAAAAGACTAAATATGGATTCATTTATGCATTTTTATTGAGGAACAAAAGTTTCTGCAGTGTTTGCTCCAAGGCGATTTCTCCTCTTAGACACAAGTTCCCCTGCCTTAGAAAACACTCTTTCACAGGGTACAGATGAAGATGGTGTGCATAAGAATTGAAGTGCGAGTTGATAAAGGTGTGGATATAAATTCTGGTTATTTTTCCAATATTGTAATGGGTCTTGTGTTCTTGGTGTGTTTCTTTCAGCCACGTAGCGTTGGACTTCAATTATGGAATTGGCTGTAGTATTAGAGGTCATCCTGCTCTCCTCAACCTCCATATCAAGGTGTCTCCAGAGATTGTGTCCTAACAAATAAATTGGAAATAAGTCTGTTAATCATTGGTTTACTATCACATGACAAACTTACGCAGAAATAAACAAATATTCACAAAGAAATGTGTTTTCATACCTGAACTGTGTTCAGAGGGTGTGTAATAGACTATTTTGACAATTCAGATTTTTTGGTGATAATTTCAACATACCTGGGGTATCTACCAATTCATCATTGCCAAGCCAAGCTCTATAATGCCTCAGCATTGATGAAGTGCTCTTATTGGAGACAGCTCTGTGGAGCAGAGCCGACACTTCACCTACAATAAAATAAATAGTTAATTTATCTGAAAACAATTTAAGCCTCTTACCAGAGAAAGACTACAAACACATTTAAAATACAGAAATAACAGTAAACGTTGCCAAATGGAGAAAACAATTTACCTTTATTGGCGTCAAAAGATCAAAATTATTTCAGACTGGGGAAAACTTCTTGGAACGATCCATGAAGTCAGCGGAGAAAAGTGAGCGTGAGGGTAAGGAAAAATCCAAAATACAACAGCAAAACTCTATCCAACAAATCCGCAACAAGTCGATACAGTTTGTTTCCTTATAAACACAATTTGGCACGGCGCAATCCAAACGACTCACTTCGTGTTTCGGTCACGTGATATTTTCTTACAGCGATACGCACCGATACGGGGTTTCGCTCTTGTGCAGTCGACACTGTGCTGACGCGCCAGTGTCGTTCGTCCCATAACTACTGTTGGTAAAGTTAGCTTGTTGTATGAGGTGACTATTGAGTCTCTGGGTTAAACATGTATTCAGGAGAGTCTCTGATGGACTTTGTCAACAAGCAAGTAGCTACTGCTAGAAAACTCATCACGAAGGTTGAAGAAGCCTTGGCCCAGTTCGAGGAAGGGCTCGGTGGTCAGCGCAGACTGTCGGATATGAGCTGGGAACCACAGAGCAGCTCACACGGAGCAGGTAAGAAACACCAGCGGGACTCGTGCAGAGACGGACTGGGACAATAATTTTGCCCGGGGTCCTTATTTAAGGCAGGGGTGTCAAACTCACATGGGGCCGACATGAAACTCTGGGACGGAGTCGGGGGCCAAACTTAATATTCTTTGAAAAAGTGACGGCAAATTTGCACATTTTTTTATCAATATATATGCAATTTTGAACCTTTAAATTTGGAAACAAACTTATTTCTGCATTAACGCTGAATGTGGAATAACCAAATTACACACGAGCAAGTCTGTTTTAAATAAAAGGTGGTATTCATTACTTGTGGTATATTCAGCATTTTTAAAATCTATTCAGGATTTATGTTTTCTTGTTGTTTATTCATTTTTCATATTTTTTATTCTCCTTTTTTCCTCCTGTAATACGTGTCATCGCTGCTGTGACGTCTAGCTTTCCCCACTGAGGAACAATAAAGGGATTTTCTATTCTATTCATCTATCTGCAGCCTTTCCACTTCCTGTTTACTGTAGGTTAAATCTTTTCTCACGGGCCAACAACAAAATAAAATACCATTTTATCTTAAATGAAATTGCAACATCTCACCTGTTAACTTTCATGTTTTGGAGCAGAAAAAGAGCATAAAACCAACATATTTAAAGCTCAGTTTGCTCCACTGGTTTACTGAGATGTTTGCCTGTTCCAGCCAGATACCTGCATCATGGGGCTGATCTGAGTTGAGGAGGAGACTCCTGTTGTTTTGTTCATCTTCATCATGATAACATCATGACAACAGGTACTCTCAAAGGTTTGTGCTGCTGAACATGTCTGAGCAGCTTGACCACATTGATGTTTGTCGGGGAGGAAAAACAACGCACCTGGCCCGCGGGCCTTGTGTCTGACACATGTGATTTAAGGTGTGTAGAAAGCTGCTTTCTTGTGTAGATCATCTCCAGCAAGCGGACCTCAGTTTTCTGACTGCCTTCTAGCCAGCCGTCTTTCGATTTTTATGGGCGCAACTACAAGAGAAATTACGGTGTCCTCGTTATAGAGTACCTTTCAAAATAAAAGCGCTCAAAACACATTTCAAAGGTTGTGTAAAATTGTGTCCGCGATAAAACTGCGTTTTATGATTTTATCTCTTTAAAAAATACTTTTAATTAAAATAATGAACACGATATAAACGTGTGTGTAAAATTGTGTGCAAGATAAAACCGTGTTTTTTATGATTTTATCTATTTAAAAATACTTTAAATTAAAAGAATAAACACATTTGTCTACTTTGCAATTCTTATTCCTCCCCTCCCTTTCATCCTGATCTGATGTGGCATTTCAAAAGAAAGTGAAAATTATTGACAATTATCACTAAATTCAATGGTTTCATTCTCAAAAACAGTCTAAATGAAGTGCAAATTTAACTATAAAGACAATTTTCACCCTATTCAATGGTTTCTTTCTCAAAAACTGTGATTCCACAACATCATTCCACGTCAGTCTTAAAGTACACACCGACTGCTAAATCCTCCCCAACTTTCATAAGGATCTGATGTGGCATTTCAAAATAAAGTGCAATCAAATATGACTTTAGAGACAATTTTCACTATATTCAATGGTTAATTTCTCAAAAACTGTCCGATTCCACAACATCATTCCACCTCAGTAGAGTAAACATCGAGGACTACATCCTCTTGAAATTTTATTAAGACCTGACGATACATCAGAAATTTTGTGAGGATGTATTCGTCTATGTGTACTTTAAGGCAGATGTGGAATGATGTTGCGAAATCAAACAGTTTTTGAGAAATCAGCCGTGGAATATAGTGAAAATTGTCATTACTGACTAGTTTCACTGCACTTTATTTTGAAATGCCTCATCAGATCTTTATGAAATTTGGGGAGGATGTAGTGCTCGATGTGTACTCTAAGAATGAAGTGGATTGATGTTGCGGAATGAAACAGTTTTTGCACCCATTTAGTCCAGATGCCATCACCGCTGCGCCATCGTAACACTGTAACACCTTTGTCCAAACAGCGTTCATATTCCTCAAGAATATGGAAAATAAGTGCAGCAAGGTCATCAGCTCGCCTGCCACTAGTTACATCCACAAATTTGACAAAATGCTCCTCGATACTTGTGGCTGTCTCATAGCGCAGGACGAGTGCGAGCGTCATTGGTTTAATCAACCATGATGGTAACAATAGGGGCTCTTCTGATCTCCATTTTGATCTCATCTTCCATCACTTCAGCAATAGCATAAATGAGGTCGTTTTGTATTCTGCCTGATGTCCCAGTAAAGACCCTGTTTGTGGTCAGGTGGTAATGCAAGTCGGCATCATGTTCAGCAAGAAAAGATAAAAGCTCCACATAATTACCTCTATTTAATGACTGGGGGTTTTCATCGTGTCTCCTAAATGAAAGTTCCTGTTTACCCAAAAACCTGACCATTCATAGTTGCTTGCCTGAAATAAATCCTTTCCCCTGCTGTGACAAGCCAGCTAGCATTGGGGTCGGGACGACCTGCTCTCACAAGATCCATTTTTTTCTTGAATGGTTCATCTTGAAAATGGCGTGGCAAGTAAATCTGCAACCAAGTCTGTCCTTTCTCCTCTTTCAGCCATCATGTGTTCAAAAATACACGATAGCAGTCTATAGATACAAATCTCTGTGTTTAGTTTTGATATTTTGCTTAATGGCGCTAGACAAGTTCAAACTACTGCTTATCCAATCACAGGATGCGTTCATGTCAGCTTTTGCGTGGGCCACTCTGACTCGTGAGCTGATTGGCTATTGCAACTGGATTGTCTCTGTTCACTTACACTCCGAGCGGACTGCTCAGTTGATTCTGAAGACCTAGGGCAGACTTAATCTACCTGAAAACGCAAGCTAGCTGAAATCTGATTGGATAACACCCAACCTTGGTATTTTAACACTGGGAGCAGTGCAACCAAGTGGGTATAATAGGATATAAAGAAAATAGGCCAGTGAAAATTTTTTGATTTAAAAACATTTACCAAAGGAAAAAATACATTTACTTTTTTGAGTAAGTTTAGGCCAGCAGAGAAGGCTTTGCTGGCCCTGACTGCCCACCAGTGGTACTAAGCAGCAGTAGCTCAACAGGTTGAGCGGGCAGCAGTAGCTCAACAGGTTTAGCGGGCAGCAGTAGCTCTCAACAGGTTTAGCGGGTTGTCCAGTAATTGGAAGGTTGCAGGTTCGATCCTGGCTCCGGACAGAGAATTCTGCGGTTGTGTTCTTGGGCAAGACACTTAACCCACTTTGCCTGCTGGTGGTGGTCGGAGAGACCGGTGTAGGGATGGGTACCGAATTCGGTACTTTTTAAGGTACCGACCGAATTCCATAGTACCGACCGAGCACCGATTCACGTCATTTCAAACGGTGCCTCGTTTCGGTACCCGTCCATCCTAACGAGAACTTGTCGAGACAGCTGCGCATGCGCAGGAGCGTTTTGTCGTTGCTTGCTGTGAACCAGTTGTAAACAGAGCAGCATGGTAGAGAGAACGCAGGCTAAAGCTTGGGTCCACTTCACTAAATGTGATGGGTAACTGGATGATGAAACCAGCGACAACTATAAGTGAGACATCCTCATCTTAATCTGCTCCGGTAGGTAAATATAATTAGCTTGATATATTAGCTTCCGTTTCGCTAATGGTGCGTTCGCTTTCTCCTCGGAACTCCGAATTTCCGACTAGAACAACATGAACGCGCTCTAAATTTTGGCTTCACTTTACTAAATGTGACGGGTGAAGACAAAACCAGTGACGATCTAAGTGTGAGGCATCGTTTTAATCTGCTCCAGCAGCTAAATAAACTGTTTAAGATATCGTTAGCTTGATATGTTAGCTTCCATTGCCACCATTGTTATCAGCTAATGGTGCGTTTGCTTTCTACTCGGAAATTCTAACTTCCCAGTAGGAAAAATCAAATGAAAAAATATGGCAAAAGGAATGAAGACACAGTAAATTTAGTTCACAGTAAAGATGTTTGCTTCAGTTTAATTATCAGCTTATAAAACTACAAGGGCAATGTTAAAATACAAACAGTTATCTGTTATTTATCGTGATATTTATCAAATATTGTTATATATTGAGAAAAATATATATTTAATTATAAAAGAGAATTAAAATAATAAACACTCAAAAGTATCGAAAATTGGTACCGTTAAGTACCGGTATAGATTCATAGGTACCGGTAATTAGTACCGGATCGATTCAAATGTCAAAGGTACCCATCCCTAGACCGGTGGCACCTGTGCTCGGGCGCCTCGCCTCTGTCAGTGCGCCCCAGGGCAGCTACATGGCTACGTCGTAGCTCATCACCATCAGTGTGTGAATGAATGAATGATACACTGTAGTGTAAAGCACTTTGGAGTCCTTACACTGAGAATCGCTGTACAAGTGTGGGTCATTTATCATTGATCATTTAATATTACTAATCTTAATCAAAAGAACATATATAAATATATCCACAGTTAAACTATGATCAGTATTTCATTAATCCTTAAGACCTGCCAGAATTCGCCAGAACTTATGTTTACATTTTACATGCATTTTTTGGAGTATTTCAACTTAGTATACATCAATACAACCTTACATTCTAAATTTTTATTATATAAATGTAAAATGTTCATAGCAACTAATTATTTTACTAAAAAATGTAATTATCCATAACAAATTGAAAATCGTTTTTTGTTTTTACATATATTTTTCATTGTACAGAAATGACAAACCTTTATCCCTCAAAATTGTCAATGGCAAAAAGTTGCACACAATCCTTTCAAACAACAACAAATTTATTTGAAGTGCTTTTATAAGTTAGTTTCTGAGACACACTCATTTAAATAAACTATTTGTAGCTAATTTTTCAGGAGTATAAAGTTTTCCTAATCTCTCACTAATAATAATAACAATAATAAAGATTATTGCATTAATATATATGTGAGGAAACAGAAACTGAAACTTAATCACCCAGCGCTGTAATGGCATCAACTGCTTCGAGGAGGGAG